CGTTCTCAAGCTGCCTGACGTGATGCATTAAATGCCCAAAGGTGATGTTTTTGCTGGAGGCATAGTCAAGTATCAACTTGGCAGCCTGGGGGTAATGCAGGCGCTCGGCCCAAACCAGCGGACATCCCGCTGAGTCCCCAGTACCACCAAAATCCAGACTGTATCCATGATCTAGAAGCAAGCAGACGCGTTCCCGCAACTGTTCGATGTTTCCTCCTCGTTGTACCGGACATTTTTCAAACAAGCACATTTGAAAGAGAGCACAGAGAGCTGGATGAACATCGCCCGAACTGATAGTATCTGCATCATCATGGCCGACACAAAGCGCACCGTAATTAGGATCTGCTCCTGCGTCGATCAAAATCTTCATACATTCAACACTCTCGGCATAGGCGGCAGCGAAATGGAGAGGAGGCCCGAGGTACATCCATTCGTTCTCGAGATCCTTGCCTAATAATATTTCGGCATCATATTCGGCATCATGCTCCAGATTGGCGCCACGGGATACGATCTCCCGGACTAGCTGTGTTCGAATTTCCATACACTCCTTCTTGTATAGAGAATGATGGAGCATTGTCCAACCTGACTTGTCGACTTGCCGACCGACGGTCGGATCAGCGCCCTTTGAAATCAGAAACAAGGCAGTATGCAGATTGCCGTGTTTCAACGCATGGAAGAGCGCGGTTCCAGTTTGTGAGGAGTGATTGACATCAACACCAACTTCAATAAGTCGCTCAATGAGCAACCTCATGCTCGCCGTGTCACCTTCAGCCTCACATGCATAGTGTAGTATTGTACAGCCACTTTTGTCGGTAGCCAGGATGTCTACACCGGGCTGCTTCAGGATAAGGTCTACGATGAGTGTCACACCGCATGTTGCTGCACACAGGAGAGGCGTCTGCCCTTTCTTATCCTGTGCAGTGACATCGACATCGGATCGTGCAAGAAGCTCTTCCACAAAGGCCTTATTCCCCGATGATGCTGCATAATGCAGAGCTGTTTTGCCGTCCGATGGATCCGGTTTGGACGCATTTAGCTCCGGCTTGCTAAGTGCACCGTAAAACAGCTCCGGGATATTGTATTGCGCTGCGCAACGCAATGCTTGCGACGTCACCTCCGTGTCATGATGGTCCAAGAAAAGGCATAGAAAATCTGGCTCATAGCCTCTGCTTGCAAAAACAGGTAACGCTGGCTGATTTCGTCGTAGAAGGGTTGCTCCATGCTTTACAAGCATTCTTTTGAACTCCAACCCAGCGGCACATTCGAGAACAAACGGTAGATCACGACTAGCAAAGTCTCTCGATGGAACATGGGGGTTTGCCCCATTCTCCAGTAAATAATCCACAATATGTTGATGATTATTTCTGATAGCAAAGTGAAGCGGTGTCGCGAAGTACCTACGGCGGCCAGGTATGCTGTCCCAGCGGAGTTGGAGGTCTTTGCTATCACGGGTGCCATTAGTATCCAAGCTAGCTCCGAAACGATGTGCGAGTTTCAATGTCCCCAAGGAACCTGTTTCGGCTGCCCAAAGTATACAACAATCAAGAGGCGGGTCGTTTCTTATGTGACGCTGATACAGAAGCGGGTTGAGGATTTGGTGCAGACGCCGACATGCGCGAGTAAGGTGGGCATGGTATCTGTACTTGGTACCCGGGTTCTTTCCGTATAGCGCTGGAACTTCGCATTCCTCTGCGATGACACATAAGATTTCTGGTGGTAGATTATCGAGCTTTGCCATTATGTCCTCTGTTCACGATGCGTCTATCCGCGTTTTCGTTTTCCTGGTCGACGTAAAGACTCGGCTTATCTGCAGCCACTTCTCGAAACAACGCATTCAAGTAGCGACAGACTCTTCTCGTTTCCGGGCCGTGGCAGATTTTCTTGTATTTAGAGCGCGTATCAAGAAAGAGCCATCCATCGTCTCAATATCAGGGTCATGGCACATGGAAACGGATTTTCGCGGGGCCTTGGGATCGTCTAACACTTTGTGCATATCGATCCACCGAGTTCTCATCTCGTATTCTGGTGGGGTCTAGTGGATGTCACTGGAAATTTGTCCGAACAAGAAAATACGCGACTAGTACCGGATTAATGCCTTTGGCATTCTTCTGGTCCTGTGGTATTTTTACTGTATTTTCAGTCGACAAAATATGACTAGCTTGGCGTATTATTCCGAGTATTTCTAGGCACAAAGCCTCCAGTCAAGTGCCGCCTCTGTCTCTCCGTGACTGGTTGAACTGATTCACTGCTCGAGATTTTGCGATCCACTACAAATTTCTCGACGATATTCGACTTTTGGTGTACCTCTCATCTGCAGCCGCGCGTCAAAGCTTTCGTCGAGAGTGTGATTATCGAGATCATCCAGCTCGTATTCAGGTGGGGTCGGTCAGGAGCAGAAATTCTGGGCACTCACCCTCTTGATGATCAATATTTACATTGGTGCAACACAGCCTTCCAAATCCAGTACAGTACGTATATGTTCAGAACGGACTCCTTCGTATGCTCTCACCCTGGTTACCTGGACCGTGAATGCATGCCATCCGTAATCTGCCCTTCGCCCAACCCTGAGGAGCGTTCATTAGCCAGCTCAGCCATCCCAAGTGTCAATCTCTACAACTGGTGCTGAAAATACGCACCCAGCCGCAGTCAAACCGAGTTAATTGATATTCCTGGGCCTCTTGGTAAAACTGTGAAGGAATGTACTATATGGCATTTGTCACGTGGTGCCTCCCGGTTGAGAATAGGGTGAGCGCCGCTCTAGCGTCGCGTGACTCGGGTGATTAAGATGAGTGCACAATAAATAGGGTGAGAACATGATAGGGAGTCGCTTTGTCTACTGCAACTATCCATTCCGGCACTCTGCAAGTGGGGTGGCTTTGTTCCTCTACGATCGACCCGTCTGCCAACGCCGACAGCTCGCGAGCATTCCCATCTTTCAATATGTAGTTCGTGTCTTTAAATCAAGCTATAATTAAGTTTTTAATTACCCTGCTTGCTCCACTCGCAGATTTCCCAGCTGTCAAACCCATCAACGGCCCATCGTGGGTTTCGTTCACCATGTACGGGCCACCTCTCCCTTACTCCTTCTCTTTAGCATTTTGCCTAGCTGCTGAGCATGGCCGCCGATGACCTCTTCACAGCAGTCACAAGTCACAATTATACGATACACAGCCTTGAGATTGTCCCACTAACTTTCCGAGACATCTAGAGCCATTCCCCAGCCGTTTCCAGTAGATATCTCATCGTACCATGGAGAGTTATGAACAAGATAGAGTCCCCATTCTTCCACAACCCTCTGACTGAGAACGTCGGCACTAAGCCACCTCCTATAGGGTGTTGTATTGAAGTTGAACGTAATAGCGGTGACACAAGGAAACACCCTTTCACTGGGTGCTGCAAATCGAAAAAAAATACTCCACAGCCTCCTTGGATGGACGGTGGCGGTGGAGATGAGCCATTAGACTAAGTGAAAGGTGGCCTCCTGCGGAGTCACCTCTGAAAACGGATCTGTGTAAGCCCTGGAGGTTAGCTCAGATTTTGAATTGACAGGGCTTCACCTGCCATCGAAATACCTCAGATGAACTATGTCCACAAGCTAAGAGGTGCTTCAGTCCTAAAATGCCCTGCGTCATGTGTCTGGGATAACGCTTGGTCGGAATAAGTTCTGAAAACTAAGCATACGTTGCATCATTTCCCTCATCATGAACACTGACCATATTCAAGAATGCATACGCTCAGCTGAACTTCAGCATTGGCCGCCTCCGTCCTGATATATGCCATCCAGTCCAGATGTCCTTTAAAAAGTGGCATCACATATCCGCCACCTTTTCGATCCTTAGCAGAGATTGGGAAACAGAGTGGTGTAAAAGGGGACATCGTAACGTGGAAGAAAAGAATCACCTTCTTTGATTCCCTCTGTCCTATCCAGAGCAGGTGGATGGAGTCATCAGCTGCTAATACATCCACTGAACGACTAGCTCCATGAGATGCGACCCATGAATTATATACGTCAATAGTGGATGGTAGGATTGCCTGATGTTGATTAGGGGGAGTATGGGCCATCAACGCACCGGCAAATCCATTCCACATGGCCGGACCCAAAAGCAACCGTTTCAACCATGCACGATGGGATCCTGAATGATGCCGATGGCAGGACATAGAAAGCGAGGGTAAATAGTAACCGCCAATTCGCTAAAGATGATGTTTGGGTTGCCATTTTTTCTGTATTTCGTCTATTGCCGTCTTTCTGAGTCACCATTCGGTCACTGCTGGCAGGTACTGTCACATTTGTTTCCCAGGCATTTGCTTGAAGACAAAAACCAGTGATTTTTGATTCATGCTAGGACCAAAAACAAAGTCCCGGTGAACCCGAGAGCGACCGGAATGCTTCCGCTGAGAGGAGCCCAGGTGCTGGCTCCACTAAGCTGTATCCAATAGTCTTGCAATCCCCAAAGGAAATCATGGCTACCGTGGCTGTTATTGGATGTCACAACCCCAGACTCGTGGAGAGACATAAATGCATGATGTAGAATCGGGACAGTCCCAGTTCGAGGCAAGATGTTGCTAATCATTGCGCCTCCAGCTTCCAAGATATTCCGACTGGAGACTCGGGCGTGGAATCTGGGCCTGAATCGATTCCCTTTAATGTCGCATTTCACTCTATCTTTTCCTTGGGCTTAAAGTGCAAATTGCAGATGATGTTCCCAGGTAAATCAAGTTTATTACACATTTCTTCCTTCTAATGGACCGCTTTATTAGACTTAATGTAGTTAAATTGATCCACATGGTGTGATTCAAACCTGACTATTCATACCGCTCTTACTGTAGAGCTCTTCCTGTCCCAGTCGATGTTAGTATTTCTATTAGGGTTGGTTGCAGGGATGCCCAAGGCCCTGGCCTGCATGAGTCGGATACTAGCAGTACTCTGGCCACCTCAACGCTTGAGAATGCACCGATTTCACATCTTTTTGTTGGCTGAGAATGACTTGCGCCTATTTCCGATGAAAAATGGAGCAGCAAGACTGCGAGAGAAGCGGCGAAAGCAAGTTGAAAAGTACATGCGCAAAGCAGGCCCAGAAAAATACCACGACCTTCTAATTCTAGACTTCGATGTGGGATGCAAGGTATGTCACTAAATCTTCGTATCCTTTGGCAATCAGGTGCAAGAGACGATGCTAATTTTGCAACCCTCAAGAGGCGAATATTCGACCCCGGGTATCTTGAATCGCTACACAACGATAAAGTCCTTCTAACCGACGCAAAAACCGAGGAGATTACAGAAGACGGTATCGAGACAGACAAAGGCTTTATTCCAGCGGACATAATAATTCTCGCGACAGGCTTCCAAACGAACAAGTTCCTTCCCTACATGGATGTGGTCGGGTGCAACGGCGAGAATGTATCACAACACTGGACTAAATATGACGGCCCAGCCGCGTATAACTGTTCTGCGCTGAGTGGCTTTCCAAAATTCTTCATGCTCCTTGGACCTAATACTGCTACCGGACATACGTCGGCCATGATAGCTGCCGAGAAGTAAGCTAAGACCCTCTATTACTTTCACTTTAGCATAGGGCAGGCTCTTAAACATTAACGCCAGCTCAATTAACTACGCTCTTCATATTTTGAAGCCTGTTCTGGATGGTGACGCCCTATCGGTTGATCTGAAGCCTGAAGCTGAGCATGACTACGTTTACTTGGTACAGGACGCATTGAGTAAGCGTGTTTGGAACGCAGGCTGTGTATCGGTAAGTTTTGTAGCCATTCTAATCTTGCCAAATACCTCTCTGACGGTAGACAAAATAGTGGTATCGTAATGATACCAAATGGGACTCCATGTTTTATCCTTGGACTCAAGGCCACTACTGGTGGCGGAGTCTTTTTCCCATCTGGTCCGATTGAAATATCAAAGCCAGTTCGCCTTCAGCCAGTCTGAAATATCATACTCACTATGAACAGAAAGCTAAAAAGCCGTCATCGCATCAATCATGGAGAATCTTGGTCCTTGCTCTTCTTTTTATTGGTGTTTTCGGGTTCACGCAGTCCGCTCGCGCAGCAAATGTCCCGATGATATTGGAGCTTCTGAAAAGCCAGTTGGCCAGAGTACGATATTTTATCCTGAGAAGATAGCTAGGTGCATTTCTCGAGGAGCCATATGTTCTCTTAGTCCGCTGGCACGTGTAGTTCTTGCTCATATTTGTGTATATTATCCAGCTTTTGCCTAATCGTCATTAGCAAACTATCCTTGCACATGCACTCAATATCGATTTGTTCAATGAGATATTTTCATACATCTTGGTTGATAATGTTTAAGTTTAAATTCATGACTGCAGAGATTCGCGAACCACAGCACTGTTGGGGTCGCTGCCAGTGTACACATTGAGCAAACCATGTCGGACAATACTGCAACAGGTACACTCTTCCAGTTTCACAACCCCCAAAGCTTTTCCTCGTAAGAAGCCTTGTGAGTAAAATTTGACCTTCTGTTCCATGAAAAATGACTGACTTATGACTACCCAGGTAGCGGCTTATGCTTTGTTTAGTTGAGAAGCTGGCCATGTATTTTATTGCAAGGGCAAAGCAAAGTATGTGGTAAGTTGTCCAGAATACTTTTACAAATTTCCAGTTCATGGTGCTCTGTTAACAATATTTTATACCTCAAGTTATCTGTATTCGGAAAAGTGATATATCAAGCCACCACAACCATCATGCAAGCCTATAGAAAACGCGAGCAACCTCAGCATATGAGCCTTTCCAGACCACGACCCTACGAGTCAAAAATGATTCTTCACCCATCATTTCCACTGCCCAGACCTAGTTTCTCGGTGAGCAGTTTTCTAGTTGCTTAACATGGTTTGGATATGCTTACCTGTTCCGCTTTCCACCCATGGTACTCGCTGCAGATGGAATCGTGAATAAAAGCTCTCTCCGTCTTGTCTGCACCGGAAATTTCAGGTGACAGCACAACTGCCTCCGTCAACATAGATTGAGCGTCTGGATTGGTAACAACCTTCGTAAAAGGCTCAAGAAGAGGTCGGATTCGGCCATCCTCAATCTTCTGCCCGGAAATATAGTGACTACGAATGATGACACGGCCGAAAAGGGTATCGTTGTGCTCGAACTTAGTCCAGTTCAACTGACGTTTCTCTGGTGTGCCTTCTAGTCCTGCAGCTAGTGCAGGCTCCAGCACCATATACCCGGTAGTTTCACAGTCTGTGCTGTCGCCATCTTCCTCCGAGCCCTGTGTAATCTTCAGGGTAGCAGTTGATGCGGATATCGCCTTCCTTATGATCCAGCTAATCCCTTGCTGATGTTCTTCAGCCTTCTTATACGCTAAATCAGGGAATGGTTTGAGACGCTTACCAATTTCAAAACTGCATCCAGGTTGGTCGATAGGGTTTTGTCCTATTCAAGGACGTGGGTTAATATGATGCCGGTTTCATGAGATATGCAGTATAGTTACCATCACCCAGGTGCCGCTTAGATTTTTTATATTTGAGCCACTCTGGGGAGCCATTTTCGTGATTCCTCGTATTTATAATCCGCAGTTTAGATGTGCTAAGCACAGAGAATAAGGGAGTCAATGAATGGTAGAAAGGGATTAGGCAAACAAAAATATGGTAAGCAAAGACAAGATCCAAGTGCCTAGTTGGAAATGTGGCAAAAGTGTTGCTCCTCCCGTATGGCGATTTTTAGATATATATGGCGGCTATCCAACCCATTCTTCTCACAAATGTTTTCATTGGCTATTTGGACAGTTTCGACCGTCGGGGTGGATGGGTCCATTGTCAGATGCGAGTGAACCGCCAGCCGGATCCTTTCCGGGATCAACCCGAAACAACCACGGACCTGGAACGCTTCCGATGCCAGACAACAGAGGATATTTGCCTAGGTAGTTATTCACATGTCGTTTTGTTCCACATCCTATGTAAATTTACACATAGAGGTTTACGCTTCTGTGGCTATCTCTAGTTCTTCCCCTACCCCTTGCTCGGAACTTGAACATGAGCACGATAGACAAAGCAGGCTTTCCTCCCCGCAAAGGGCTCTACATCGATCTCATGGTAGCAGGCCTGCGAAATCGACTTTTCATCCGTTCATCACATTATCGTGTTTGTATCCAGTGGGGAGATGCAGCTCTCTTGCTTCTTGGGAGAAGCCACTTCAAATCACCTCAGCAGCCAGTGTACTCATGTGGCTCAACCAATGGCCAAGTGCAATTAATCGGAACAACTGGATTATAGATGATACATGGGATTGGTAGAAGGAGCTGGTCGTAGTGACTGAAGGAAGCTGCGGTATTGGGGCAGGAGTCGCTTAGCGCCTGGCTACCCTGGGCTCACGCGTTGTCGTATTGGACATCATCCTTTGACATTCAAGGCTTTATTCGATTGGCCTTCATTCAAAATGAACGACATACCTGTGGAGTTTTGATAATGTTAGCATGGGCAGAGAAAACCCGAATACTCTATCACATATGCGATCTGAGCGATGAGAAAGATATCGCAGCTATCTGCGTAAAGATCAGAGCAGAAATCGGGGATTCAACTGTCTTGTGTCAGCGAAATAAACAGATATAGACACCTCAACAATGTCTGGCTAACAGTCGCAGTCAATAATGCCGGTCTATCGCGCTAATGGACAGTAATTGGGGGTATTTACAGCAACAACAGCATAGCCCCGAAAACGAACTTATTGGCACCATTCTTACTGTCAAAAGAATTCTTTCCAGCTATGAAACTACGAACCCATCAACATATCTTTAATGTAGCCTCGGCGAGTGCCTATATCCCGCCGCCGGGACTGGCTGATTACGCGGCATCAAACGCATCAATTGCATTTCATGAGGTATGGCTCGAGCCTTTTATTGCAAAAGCGCAACCTCATAATATGGCCTTAGCTCGTGTCTCATGCAAGAGCTCTGAGTCCAGAATGCTACAAACTTCAGCGCCTCTATGGCCGTGTTGAGCTTGACGCCGCTGTTTCAAGGCGAGACAACCCAGTCCCGGCTCCTGATGCCTCTTTTACAAGCTGACACTGTTGTGGATGCCATTGTAAATATACTCGACAATGGGCTCAGCGAAACGGTTTATCTACCGAGGATCTTTAGTTGTTTTGCTGGTTTGATGAGTCATTTATCTTCATCCGAGGCAGGATTCTTGCTGATGTCATGCAGCGAGGAGCGCCAAATTGGTTTCAGAACTTGATCCGCGGGAGTACCAAATCTCTGAAAGTAGATTTCAAAGGGCGACATGTAACTTATCCACAGACTGGATGGCTTACTTAGGGGTCTGCAATACACTGCGTATGTGCTGAGCTGCTAATAGGGGCCACAGCCTGCTGTGTGTCGCACGGTATGTATGCAGATCAGTCTCCGTCGTGTTTTCTGGCGCGGAAACCGGAATCTATCTGATACACTCGGAACATGGCAGGGCCACCTGACGCTCAGTATGATCAATCAGAATTACCGGTAATAAATATTAGGTGTATTTAGGTTTTACTCCTCGGATACAAGAGAGGGGGGGAGACCGCATAAGTAGTGGCATCCGATGTGGCAATAGAGAGTTCAAGTTCACCATGGTCAACCACGGTCTCCGCGTCATGACCCAGATATCATGACAAGCTACTCCTGTGGAGGTGCCAAGTGCGACCTTTCATCCAAGACTGTCATATTTCTATATTTTATCTTATGCTTCTTTCTCTGCCTACCACCCGGGCAAATTTCCCAAATGACCCTTACCACGCTTCCTCTGGAAGCTTGAAGATAACGTCCTCATTGCCTCAACTTTATCTCTCTGGGCACATTTTCCTGTGCCTCAAGCAACCGACCTGAAGATCAACATGATTGAAATCCCACCTGATGTTGTAGCTGGGTGGCCAGCTCCAAACTACGCACATCCTGAGACAAAAGGACCAGCCCTGCCAATAATTGTTCTTCTGTTCTATGTTTTAGCATCGTTCGTTCTGGGTGTGCGTTTGTATGACAAACTCAAGATATCTAAAAGGTTTTTTGCAGAGGATTACCTGATTATACTTGCAATGGTAAGCTCAACTCCTATCATGACTAATTGGTGAACTTGTCTTTCTAATTCATTGATCAAGGTCCCGACTACGGTGGTCACGATTATTGTCTTGCTTTCCAAATGGAAATACCTACTTGACAGGCATGCATGGGATCTACCACCACAGAATTTTAGACCAGCTAAGGTTCTTAGCAATGTTGATTTTGTTTTTTTCTCCTTGGCGTCAACCTTTGTCCGCCTATCGTTTCTTGCCTTCTACCTGCGCCTCGTTGCCCAGACAAAAACCATGCTTTACAAGTGCATCATTTACGTCACGATCTTTGTCACTGCTGGACTGGCAGTATCATACATCTTTGCGCTACTATTTCGATGCAGGTTCGTATGCCATTAGTCCTACCAAAGATGCCTTTGTTCCCTGCCCTAAATGTAACAGCCCGGTCAAAGCCGAATATGATTTCAATCCGCCATCATTTTACCCTAACTATCCATACCGCTGCACGAACCGTGAAATGATTCTTTTTACTGGGAGTCTCGTCTCAACAATCTTGGATTTTTGGATCATGTTAGTTCCAATTCCATTGGCGTGGCAGTTGGATCTACCTCTAAATCAGCGCCTTGGGGCCCTTGGAATGTTTCTTCTTGGCCTGCTTATCTGCGCGTGCGGGGCCGTTAAAACCGGCTATCTCTATACCCTTTTCTCAACTTATGATGAAATCTGGGTTGGAACCCCAATTTGGATCCTTTCGGCCCTAGAACTTCACATTGGAATCTTATGTTCGTCTGCACCTACCATCCGCTTGGTATTGCGGGAGCATATAAAACGTTTCCATGGGTGGTTCCACTCTAGGGGATACCACTATGCAAGGACTGATAGTTTGACCAGTTCAGTTCCTCATGGGACATCAGGATCTTATTATGTATAGCCATTGCAGAAGTCCAATGCCAACAATCCTAAGTCAGTCATAAATTACTACTACTAGTAATTCGCACTGATACTTTTTTTAGTTCCATTCTAAAGTGTACCCGTGAGTAAATCGGCGCTAATGGAGAGAACACTGGAGTATGTACAATCCGGCTTACCCCAGTGGTGGCAAACCCATATATTGGAAAGGATAAAACGCGTAGTGGCAGCCAGGCGTACTGGTGTATTGACGGAAGCAAGTTGAACCAACCACCAAGTAAACCTGAAGCTACAGTCCTAGAGAAAGAGTAACAAAATGGAAAATGGAAAGCGGAAGAAAAAGTGGTGTGTCAACTTTACTATAAACGCGTGCTGTCGACGTCTAACTTGTGATATCATGCGCACAAAGTGATGGGGAGATTATCAATTCCTCATTACTAGCTCATGTACAAAAGAATACAGACGGTAAGAATGCTCTAGCATAATATGCCTAGATCCGCCCCGTCCAGACCGCGAACGTATCCGCTCAATCGGACTGGGTCCACTTTCTCGGAGAGGGCCCGAATGAAGCCATGTAATTTATGGACTTCGATCTTCATTTCCAGGCAATATCAATTGCGGTAGGAATATTGGGAGTGATGAGGGTCTTCCAAGCACCATATGATTTGCCCATATATGGTCATCTGGACCCCGGGCTTTAAATTCGGAGTCGTCCCGAAAAAAACGAAACGCTGGGAATGAACAGGAATTGGGGTTTAAAAGCATCACCACTGAAGATTCCGAGAGTCCTATAGTGGGAATAAGTCCTGTTTCATGATGAAACGACTCGTTGAAAAATTCTTTTCAAGCCTCAGAGGCTCTTGGGAATTGGTCAGCTTTTCCGAGGCGTTGATTGATCAATATCTAACAAAGATCGTACTTTTAAGACCAGGAATCAAGTCTTCTAAACGATCCGGACAAACTTGGTATGACTGCCGAAATTTCCTTCGGCCGTGTTGCCTTTCATTTTTCTAAGCATTTATGCAATGTACTGAGGCATTTTAGCTGATTGATTTTTCGCCAGCAAGCGGCTAGTTAGTTGGCTCTGGAGAAAGATGTTGAGCTCTGTCAAAGTAGTCTTAAGAGTCTCATATCAGTCAGGACCAACTAGTTCTCAAAGGCTACTGACAGATATTGGTTGGAGATTTAGTTGTGGCGTATGGAAACAATTGACGCTCGTGATTTCTTGGCGCGGAAAATTGTTGTTGTGAAAGGGAACCATTATATGACAGCTAGAGTCATTTATAGATTTTTTGGGTAAATCACTGTCACCCATGCGATCAATTGGGCAAATTTTCCTTATCTTCCTCCGATGTCATACCTGGGTGTGAAAACAGTTTGGATTGCTGGGAATAACGCAATGGTCAGCAGCCTCTACCTGCTCGAAAATCGGATTCAATACACAATGTGCAGTTCCTAGCTAGCCTAGGGGCCTTTGAATTCGTTTCGCTACGAGGAAATTCCTTTAGAGCCGCCTCCCTCTCTTAAAATGTGGTCGATAGAATTCGGAAGCGATGGCACCAAGATTATTTGATCAATGTCTTGCGGATAGAATATATACTTCGCAAAAAAGCGTTGTTGTCATACTGTAATATATTGAATCATAAGATCCCGGTCTGTGGGAACCAACTCTGCATCTCGCTGATATCAAATGGGCCCAGAAACCCCAGTTCATTTGTTGACAGGCCTTCATCCCAGCTTAAAGGCTGCCATGTATCAACGGCCGGCTGTGACAAATCTGTTTGGCCCTGTTCCGCGGAAACTTGTGTTGTAGGCACACTGCCATTCCCTGTGTCAGGTAAATGCACCTTGAGATGAGAGACGAATCGATTTCGCATTGCCTGGAGAAAATTGAGCGTATTTCGACCAGAGACGCTAAATGAAGCCAGATGTTGCAAGACAGTTTCTGCCTTTCGCCATGTAGTGTCAATTGTTGGTAAATCAAGTTCGCTGGCTTGGTAGCACGAATAAGATATGATCAAAATCATGGCTGCTGTAGAAGTATCTGCGCTCCCATGAGAATTGATGAACATCATATCACAAGTTAGAGCGACACTCACAAAATCCATTATACCACCACGTATCCGTCGTTGATGAATCATATGTCTCATGGACGAGAGAAATAAGGTCTACTGCTGCCCGAATACACCCTGCAGCCCACTTTCGTAACAAGACTGAATGAGAGGTTGGCGAACGGTACTGGGCTTCGTCAGGTTGTTCCTCAAAAGAAAGCCGTGTGAGCATGGGCCGATAGAGTAGGAGTTTATGATAAAGGAATCTTGGTCGTCAGTAAGACACTATTTGAATTGGAAAAGATACCTACCGTGAGTGAAGAACGTTTCGTTGTCTGCTTATCATTTCCTCCATTGCGGACTTAGGTGGAGGCACAGGTATGGTTGTCCAGTTCAAAAATGGAGGAATAGAAGATTCAAATTGTAATAGTTGATCTTCAAGACGAATAGTAACCTCTAGGCCGCCATGCCGTGCTTCCGGTGTGGATTCATTAGATCGGCCATGCCAAGCCTTGTAAACATCTGAGAGAATACCATCTAAGATAGAGTAAAGCTGAATCGTAGAAGTATAAAAAGCGATCAGTGATGGGGATTCCGGCCCCGTGCCCGATATCAAGTCGAATGACCCTGGCAACGGGACTCTTGCGAGATGACTTGTCATAGTCGGCCGTCCATATGCCATGCTGACCGTTCTGCAATAATAAGCCTGTGAAAAATTCGTCTTGAGAAATGTGGGAGCAAATACATATCCATAATTACACAGCCGTGCCAAGTTCTTCGATGGATTTCTTGCTCTAATGAATCTTTGGAATCCTCTAGATTCGTTTCATGCAATCCCAGCCCAAGTGCAAGACGGCAGGCCATTCCGGTCGAGTTCCAGCAGCGATGAGGATAGGGAGTGCTCTGTAAGAACAATGCCACGATCAGAAGAGTCTGGACCACTCCTATAGAGTGAATATCCACCAAATCAAGCCCAATGTGTCGCTTTGCTCGGAGAAAAAAAGACGTTGTAAGAGATTGGCGGTCATTTAGAGGAAGCTTCGAGAATTGACATCCCAGAGCAAATATAATATTCAGTGCACAATTGAAGACGATTGAGTTCTGCCCCGAGTTGAATCGATCTCCTAGACCAATATTCAGATCTGTGAGCTTGTGGCTGGCATGATTCTCCGGCAGCCAGAGGTTTTCGTATGCTTGTTGGAAACTTTTACGATCAAAGAAAGGATACAAACAAAACACCCGTTCCCAGAAGCAATCAAGCAAATGATCTGCAAGGTTCCGAGGAGGTAAAACAAGTCCCTCCATTTGCGCGAACGATTCCATGTCCAAATATCCGATCTGATGATTACTGAACGAGTCAAAAGACGGTATCTTTTGTGAAGCCCACGCATGTCGTCGCTGCTGCCTTTGGTCCCCCGTGAGGAAACACGCCAGCGATGCTGCTGATGAACTCCCGAAATACTCTGAGTTCTGACTGGAAGCTTGGTCTTGGTCGTTGATATTGATCATGGCGCCCATGCCAGTGATGTTACCAGGCGAATCAGTAGTTCCAGAAATATCGATTTGCGCATTTGACGCAGGAAGTGTCGGGGATTCCCTGTTTTGCAGCAATGTTTGTTCACCACCTGGCATGAGCGATCCAGGAACGTCCAACTGTGCAGGACAGGCATCTCCTGATCTTCCCGCTTCGTCACCAACTGGAGCTGATGGGTTTACGGACCCTGACTCAGCTCGTTGAGATCCCGAGCCAGTCTCCAGTTCCCGAATCCGATGATGTAAGGCGCGTATGTATCTGGAACAATCCAGTTAGTAGGATTCTCTTTACGACTTGTTGGAGGCCCTTACTCGTTGCTGCTTGCTGCCCGGGCATATTCCGCCACGTATATACACCGGTCGGTCGGAAGCCTCCGACGTGTGCAAGATGCACATATAGGCTTGTTGCCATCGCATCGAGACTTGCGTTCGCGGCAAGGCTCGCATGCCAGCGCGATTTTCCGACGGCGAGGTTTCTGATTGGGAATGTCTTGCTGCATTGTTTCCACTTCTTGGTCAAGAATGCAATCAATATTAAAGGTCTCGTGGGTTGGACTAAGATTGGTGGGTAGGAGTTGGAGGAGGAGATCCAATATCTCTCGTTACTTTACCACCAATTGGACAAACGATAGCTACATCATGCCGGAATCATTCCGGTGTACGTTCCGAATTTGGTCCACTTCCATACTCCGTGTGCGGATCCGCTGAAGGCCAACTACTTTCCAACTCGAATCAAGATTTACTAGTATCTTCAATTCTGACACTCAAAGCATGCGACTCTTGACTCTTTTTCAGAGATTGTTTCTCGCTTCGCGAAAAGATGACATGTTCTTTTCTGACGGCTGAATTTTCCAATTGTTTGTTGAAAATTAAAAGACACTGAGTATGGTTTTTGGCGTTTCATCATAGGTCTCAAGTTTCTATTGCTCAATTATGTACTCGGGAACTAGTTACTCTATAGGAATATCGAAGTCGATAGGAGCCGATAAGCGGCCGAATTTTTGACCAAACCTTCAACTGTACCACGCAGCGGTCACCCGGATCGCCTGAAATCAACTGCAGCCTTTATTGCTGTGCAAGCAAAAAGCACCCTATGTCCCATATTAATCACTCGTCTTCCAGGTATTCATGTTTTGAATGCCAGATTGCCTTTCATGAGTTAACGTACCATTCCAAAGCACTAAGCACAGTTGTCGATATCCATGCACTCCGAATATTGCCCCCATAATTGTATCCAACACGGTGTAAAAACACTGTGATCGTAATAAATACCGCGAGCCAAAGAGCCAAAGCTGCTGTTTCGATGACCAGAGTCACTGGAGATGACCACTTTTGCAAATAAAGTGGTACTAAAGCGGCAGATGGAATGACAATCACCCCAGTCCAGATGCTCGTGAAAAGGACAAAGACGGTAACATGTTCAAACGGCAGTGGAATTATCGCTAGTGAGTTTAGACTTTTTTTCTCTTCTGGGGTTAGACGAAGCGACGAACATACCATATAAAGCTAGAGCAAAAATGGAGACTGTGAGGAGAAATTGTATTACGCGGACAGATAGATGCCATTTCTCAATATAAGGAGAGATGGACGACATTGGAGTGAACGTTGTACGATGTATACAACTTGGTCCTTTGTCCATTTTCATATCGTAGCAACAATTCTTCTCCACATTTATAAGTATCAATCAAAGAAGACCAAGCGAGGTTCATTTCGTGGTGGAAAGCACCCGGGTTGATTCCGCCCCGGATTGACTCCGTACCGGGTCCTTTCCGGACCATTAGATCATTAGCTCTTTTCGTCTCCAACGCCTCGATATTGGCAGAAAATTTGCCACGCATTGCCGATTGATCTATACATATCTTTGTGCGCCCGAGAGGTGTCCACTTTTCGCATTCATGACGATCATCATTGTGTGAAGGTTTTTTTGCTGGTGATATTTCTCGCTGTGCTCTTAATGGTTGTTTGTGGCGCATGCGTTTTGTAGTCTGCTCAAGCAAGTACATAATCCTTGGCCGATTCAGTTGCCCGCATCACCTCACAGTTCGCTGGCTTGAGAAATCCATCATATGTACAAAGTAGGGTAAATTTGATTTTTTCTCAAGTTAGTTTACGTTTACCAAATTTGGCTGAGGACCCGGGAATCAGAAGTAGTAATTAGATGGAGATGACTGCAGTCATATTCCACTTTTCTCGTTCAAAATTGTTTCGCACAATGCAAAACTAGTTATCATTTACCTGTTCTTCCAAAGTAGGGTGGCATTATTTGGGCTTAGAGTTGGCGCTCCTAGACAGAGAGAGACAGAATCCATGCCTGGTAAATCAAAACGCTGACAACTCATTCCCAACAGACATTGGATATGGCTCCCAGGCATCATGAAACCATAAAGCAGACTTCGACGGGGTAAAGTTGGGAATTACTGGATCAGGAGTGGACAAAAGGCAGAGCGTTTCCCCACGGAAAAGAAAATAGAAATAGCGATGGATATAGTTTCGGGTTCCATCCCGGCTGATACATAGCATTCCCCGCATTTCGGGGCTCATTCCGGCGTATCTGGGAAAGCAAGGATTAAGATGGAACAAAAGGATCAGCAAAAAAGCTCAGTTCTGGGTTTGGGGCCTGACTAAGCGGGGTTGGCTGTTAACCCAATGAATGCTGGTAGGAATAATCATAACCTTGACGAAATCAGGGGATTAAGATGGACCGTACACATCGAGGATAACCGGATCCCGGCGGGGAAAGATCTTTGTCTACTGCACTTGTATGCTCAACGCAATTGCAATTTAATAAGCATCGAATTCATATACACTACCATTACTTCTAGTGGGAAACAGTGTCTTGAGGACTTGAGTGGTACCTGAGTCTTCTTAAAATGGTGAATGCCGCGAATGGAAAATCAGACATATTTCCGGTTCTCAAATTTAGCTTATTGCTCACGTAGAGACTACTGTCTTCCATACTCCGAAAGGGCAAAAATGAGCTCATATGACCTTTTGGATGAGAAAGATACAATTGGGAGCACAGAACACAAAATTCCGCAGAATCGGTTAGCTCTGGCTCTTTAGACCAATTCGGCTCAATTTTTTCTGCTTCAAGTAAGTAGCTGGTTTTCTATTCGAATGGTACTCTCGGACGAGCTGAGCACCACCGCGGAGAAGCAGAGAATAACCAGCCACTAGTTTAATGTGATATTAGACTTCTCGTAGCTTGTGTCTGGAAATAAGATCCTCGGCATTTCGACTCAGCACTTTCGGCGAGAGTTGTGGATGCTTTTCTGCGAATGCTAGGTATTCTTTGAATTCTACCTCGATGTCGCAGGTGCATATGGATGGTCGGTTCCAAACAGCACATGAGATGGGTCGGTAGTCTCTAATAGGCCGTTCAGTTATATACCTGATCCGCTGGGTGCAGTGTTATAGTAATACTGCCTAAACTGAGCCACTGCTTTAGTTGCGGTGACACGGCTCTTACTACTAATCTTAGGAATGATCAAACTTCCAGGTACACGCTGGGATATGAAAGGAAGTGTTCCCCCTGTATGGGAAAGTATCAGGTCCATAGATGGTATACGAGATCTAACCACTTAACACAAGATCAACGGCTACTTGAGTTGTTTGTTGAGGGTAATTGACGATTGGCTTAGGAAGAAAGCCACTAATAAAGAACGAGTTTACTTCCATCATCCCAGGATGTATGAATACCAGGGCACCGTACTTCTCTAGACGATTCCAGATTGGCTCAAATATCCTATTGCCGGGCAAATGGTCACCGTATACTGTGTATATTCTAACACCAACAGCGGTCTTCTACGTCGAGTAAAGAAATTTGATTTCATCGAGTGTCCCATTTACGTCTCTCCAGTCCGGAAGAGTGCCAAAGAAATCCAGTTTGTGTGGGTATTTGTCTGCTAAGCTGGCCAGGTAGATATTCGTCTTGCGGCAAAGTTCTCGAGCCGATTCGCCAGTTCCAAGAATTGGTGTTCCAGGAGCTGAGATTGACAAAATAGCTCTGGCAGACCCAGTAGTCTTAAGGCTTTCAAAGGTGCCTTGAACCGTCCAATTCGGAGTTGCAAACCCAGATGGGCCACCACCAGCCTTTTGCAGCGCAGTAGCATAGCTTGGGGGAACTGCGTGGATGTGTGTATCGGTGAAATACCAGTTTGACTCCCACTGAACAAGTTCTGCTGCTGCATATCTGCAGAACAAGAAACAAAGAACGCTGCAGAGCTTCATAGTAGAGGGATTTGAAGTGAAGGTAACAGACTCGAGGCTTTGCATGAAGACAAGGGGAAACACTTGGATGTGTGCTGATTTATATATGGCATAATCGACTGATGATCAACACCTATCCTGTTCAAGTCGGTGCGGAGTGCTCAAACGAATACTAACTAGTACATATGCCGAGAGAGTTATGCGGGGAAATGTCTATCGTTTGGCAGTAATTTCATGCACCCCACATTGTGGAACAAATACTTTGAGCTAGAGACGGGGGGTAGATTTTGGTATACGGAATTCAGTCCAACTTGAATTTATATCCAGATCTTCTCATCGGCAATCACACCTTCCAATTTTAAAAAAAAAATCAGATTAAGGATCATAGTGTGAAAGCCGATACAGCAAGAGCCGGAGTATCACTGAATACTAGTGATCGATGGGACGTCTCTCGAATTAATAGTCCCAAGTCCCGAGCACCGAGGCATGTTGTATATCTCTCTGCATGTGTACTATGCACCGCTTTTCGACAATGCGTGACCAAAATTCGTCCGATGGGTCTCAGGACCGCATGTAAGGCATATCTCCCGTGATAATTCTCCTCCACAATTTCCTTATTTTGAAATGAGCTTTCATGGCGTTGAGATCAGCGCCTGAGAGGGACCTTTTCATAGCAGCCTTTCCAGTTCATCGGATAGCGGCGACCATGTTACCTTGAAAATGATTATAGATCACGGTTAATTATTTATTTATTAGCTTCAACCGAATCTAGTAAATTTGACATCCCGGTCAAATCGTATACAAGCTTCCTCGGGTATCTGAGTGTACCTTGGTAGTTCCCAACCATGGGGTTTGTTCTAGTTATATCGGGTCGAGATAAGGCCACAACTAGCGGTCAAGCCTAAACCCCAATGTTGAGACACCTACTAATTTTCAGGGGGTGCACGGCAATCCGAGTTGATCCGGGTCTTGCATATGCATATTGACAGTTCTAGCAATGGAGATCCCAAGAGATCCGAGAAAGTCCCGTGCTTCGAACACCCTAGAAGTGGAGCCGATTGGTCTGAAGGAGAAAGGAGGTTCTTCAGCTGCACTCCCACTCTCACCAGCTTTCTGCGAAATGCTGAGTGACTTTAAAATTGATTCAAATAACCAGTAATCATGAATATGTCCTAGTATAGCCCTTCTGCCCAGATATAAACTTGGGTTGCATCATCGGAGTATCCGACGTCACCGCGGCAGAAGGCGGAGAGGGCGCTTAGCTCCCGAGCTGGAAAGCACAGGTAACACACAACTCCATCCCCGCTTCCCAGCCTCCTTCACGACCTTGTTTTTTTTTCTCTCGTCCTCTCTTCTTCCTTGTTCTCCTCTCTACCTAGGCTCTCTCTACTCCGATCCTCCTTATTTACTCCTCCCTCCCCTCGACACCCCCCTGAAGAGTCACCTCCATGGCTCCTCCTCCTTCCGCCAACCTGCCTCTGGTCGAGAGGCTCAAAGCTCTGGCCCAGACCCTGCAGTACGTTTTTTTTATCCCTAGCTTAGCTCATGCAGATGCGTGAAGCTTCAATGGATGCTGTTTCAGTGCTGACCCGATATTTTTATGCAGGTTTGCTTGGTTTGTTGGGTACGTCGACCCTCGGATCTCATCGACAATCGCATGAGGAATTTGGAATCGCTGACCAGATTTAGACACTTGACACTCCTCATCTCGGTCTTCCGCTACTCTCTGTCCTTTATCACCTTCAACTTCTACTCGTCGTGGGCCATTTTCTCTTATCGCCTTGCCTTCGTCTCTGCCGCCGTCACCTATGGAATCGTCGTTTACAAGGGCCACTTCGCCCGCGGTGTGCAGGGCAGTGTTCCTCAGATCGTGACCAAGCTCATCTCCGATGAGAACGTCCAGTACTTGGGTAAGTCTGCGCTTTCGGCAATTTCCGCTCCCATGTGACAGGACCAGAAAACTCATTTGATATCTCTCTAATAGGCATGGCTCTCGTCTGGCTGTACTCCCGCCAGCTCATTCTCGCCCTTCTCCCCTTCAGCGTCTACTCCGTCTTCCATGTCGCTACCTACAGCCGCATGTACCTGATCCCCACCCTCCAGCCCCAGGCCCAAGGCGCCAGCCCCGCCTCCCCCGGCTCCCCCAACTCCAAGCCCGCCGGCAAGCAGAGCGCTCTCGCCGAGACCATTGGCCGCTTCATCAAGCAGTACTACGATGCCAGCATGGGAGTTGTTGCCAGCCTTGAGATTGCCCTGCTGCTGCGCCTTGTTCTGTCCGCCATTACTTTCTCCAAGGGCAGCTGGGTTCTTCTGATCGTTTACCTCTCCTTCTTCCGCGCCCGCTACGCCCAAAGCTCCTTCGTCCAGCAGGCTGTTCGTCAGCTCGTCGCCCGCGCTGATGCATCCATCTCCCACCAGAGCACTCCCCCTCAGGTCCGCCAGGGCTGGGAGAGCCTCAAGGGTGTCGTGCGCCAGGTTTACGAGGCTACCGATATCACCCGCTACATCTCTAGCTCTACCGCTGCCAAGAAGCCGCAGTAAATGACTGCGAGAGAGGTGATTGGCTGGGCATTATCTATGTGAACGGAATTGTAAATGTCTCTTTTATCATCGATAGTTGCAGTCAGTCAAGTCTCGCAACTTGAACTTGGAATTGGAACTCGCAATGTAAGGCAGTGCCACCAAAAGAAATGATGGGAACCGCAAATGTGAAAGCCTTGGGCTCGATGGTTCAGCCCAAAGGGAGCTCCGGCTTCGGAATCCCCAGTTTATGAGTCGAGAGAGAGAGGTGCGAAGCAGTGAATCGAGCGAATTGTGTGTCAGTATGGAAATGTGGAGATAGTCTCTGTAGGAAGAGGCGGACGGGTCTGATCGAAGCCGTCCATCATGAAGCTATACGCAACGCAACGCCATGCCCTTTGTTTATTTTTTATTTATGTTTCTTCTGTTCTCTTTGTCTCTAGATCCTCGCGAAGCATTGTTTTTGTATCTGTCTTAACTTGGTTGCAATCGACTTTCGGAAATTCACGATTACGAAGTCTTCATTTCCAAGCGGATGTGCCAAGGACCTTGAACTAAACTGTAGTCAGCATTTTAGAATTTGCACCAAAGCTTGGATATTCGTCTACGGGTAATAAAATAGTAAATGCCAGTTGAAATTGTTGAAATTGTATTTGAGCTCCTGGCTCCTGTCTGAACTACTAACAGCTCTACGGAGTAGATAGCGACGAAATGGCTGGCGAGGCCAACTTCTCGTAAGTTGCCTATGTTGATGGCTCTTGGATGGCAACGGGCTTTGTGTCCGCTTGCTGTGCTGGTGAACCATTGGAAATGTGCTCAGTCGCTTGATTAGCTTGCGGCCACCTTTTTCACAGAACTTTAGAGCCGATTGAACGGCATGATCCAGGTCGGGTTCCTGTCGTAGCGAAATTGCGACTCTCTGACTTTCCTGTCTCGGTCCCCGATGTATTTCATCATCTGTTTGTACCTCTTCCCCTTCAAAAGGGCGAAATTCCGCTCCCAAACTTTCTTTTCAGACATGGCGTATTTTGAATCCTCATACCCGTTATTGAAACACTCGCGGACATCCAGGCCATTGTGAAGCTCACAGTTCTCTCCAACAGTATCCATGTGGTTGAAAAGGCGAACAGGATCCAGACCGACCCCGAGATTGACCCATCGTGTCATTGTAACACATTGAACTCTACATCCATCCCTATAATTGAAATTGTGGGCCTCCAGTTGGCAAATTGAATCGCAGGAGTCGCATTTTTCTTGTTAATATTCTCTACCTTTTGCACCGGGGCCGTTCGGGAGGGTTGAGATGGATGCAAAATAGAATCGAGGGAGTCCATCATCTTCCTCAACAAGCTCTGTGGGCATTTTGCCGTGGCAGTATGCGATGGGGCGGTTGGGGATCCATTCAATGGTGTCTGCTCCTGTTTTTAGCAGGCCAATGAGCTGAAACCGTAGGCACAAGCTGGACCTTAATGCGCAATCATTAGAAGTAGAGCCCTGTATAGGAGCCTCCGAGGTAGGAGAGTAGATGCAGGCCTGAACTGATAGCAGATTCACGTTTTTCAACTCCTGGTTTGATCGCGAACTAATTGTTTCTGGCCTGAGATTTCGGACCCAGTCTGGAAACCATTTCTGTACAACGGCGTGGTTCCGAGAAGACGGCGACGGACCATATTCCGGACCCTGTCTGAATCCTCTCATCACAGCAAACACCTGCTCAAATTTGAGACCGTATCAGTGAGGGGTGCAAGATTCAGGTGAACCATGCCAGAGTCACCTCCGCAGAGCTCTTGGGGTGGGGCAAGCCTTTCCTAACGGCGTAGCTTTCTTGTCAAAACATGGAATGTATCTGGGTGAATCGCGCGAGAGCGCCATGAGAAACTTCATGCGCTCGCTCACAACACGGGTATGGCCTGGGGCAACTTGTTGAATACCGTCAATGAATGTTTCTCCTTTGTGAGGTGAGTTAAAAAGCTTAAAAAGTCCATGGCTACAGAGAGCTAGACAAGCCGTATCCCCAGAGGTAGGAAATCACAGATCACTGATTAGGCATTAGGCCCCTTCGAGATTCCAGGACTAGTCAGCTTCACTCGTATCAAGAATCAATATAGGGGGGACAAGGAAGTACGTACTTGAAGCAAGAGTGTTTATCAGATAAACCAGTTTCTCTAACCATCTGGGTATGGAACTTGGAAGAGGGATTGAATGTGCGAATCATGGGGTTGAGAAGAAGGACTCGGGAGGTTTGGACTTCCAAGATCTCGCATGAACAAACACATCGACAATAATAACGACAAGCATAAATACAGCAAACGTCAACGACCCACCTTTATCTACTACTTTCAGATCCCCTCCAAGCCCCTATTGTGGTACGCCATGGCGGTGACTAACTTAGTAGAAGGTATTGGTTTCTACTAACAGAGGATTTGTAGGTTAGGGGAATAAGTCCGAGTCAATACTACTAGTACTAGTACACATCTGATTGGAATAGCCATTGGGCTCCAAGGTTCAAGTAAACATCAAAAGAAATATACCAATCAATCAAGGCAGCAGTAGCAAATAAGCAAAAAGTGTCAAATTGAGGAGTGAATAGAGTTGGAAGATGGAAGTATGAAAAAGTTAAAGTTGGCGGCTCTCTGTTAGTCATCAATGACGCAGTCTCTGCCTGAGGCGTCAAAGCGGTGTTTTCTTTTCTCCGCCCGAAAGTCAAATTCGAAATTGGTGATTGAGTGAATTAATATTGCGGGCCGAGATTCGACGAGATTCGCCTTCCATACCTCCTCCCCGTCTTTCTCGTCACTCTTTAGACCTCTTCCTATTCCATCGGGGGTGCTACTCTCTTTTCAAGGCATCCCCTCCATATCCCCCTTCCTGGTCCCGATCGTCGCGGGAGTGCAGCGTCTCGGCCCTTGCCATGAGCCTGACCTCGCGAGTGTTCGGGCTGTTCTCGACGACAGCGAACTCCGACCCAACGACTACCCCTTCCAACGACCTGTCCCCTTCTGCTACCAATCTCCCATATTCATCGATATCTGGTCACAAGAATGAGGTAGCCTCCGGCGCATCCCGACATGCCCAGAGCAGCGCGATGTTGGAGGAAGACGAACCCCGTCCGCCGTATCTTCATGTACGATCAATCCCTGGCAGCAATGCGGCAGTGCCCAACAATCTCAATCATGACAGATGCTAACGCGATTTCTCTTTCTATAGGCGATGCTGGCAGGCGGCACCGGAGGCTCATGTGGCGACATGCTCATGCATTCGTTAGATACCGTGAAGACCCGGCAACAGGGCGATCCGACCTTCCCACCAAAGTACACGTCGATGACTTCCTCATATTCAACGATCTATCGCCAAGAAGGACTTGTCCGAGGTCTCTACAGTGGCGTGACACCCGCCTTCTGGGGTTCCTTCCCCGGAACCGTCATTTTCTTCGGAGTCTACGAATTCACAAAGCGATTGATGTTGGATTCGGGAGTCAACCCTAGCCTTGCGTATCTTTCCGGTGGATTTTTCGCAGATTTGGCTGCGTCTGTGGTTTACGTTCCATCCGAGGTCCTCAAGACCCGACTTCAACTGCAAGGACGATACAACAATCCCCACTTCAATTCAGGATATAACTATCGCAGCACAGGCGATGCCCTCCGAACGATCGTCCGCCAGGAAGGCTTCTCCGCCCTCTTCCACGGCTACAAGGCCACTATCTTCCGTGATCTACCTTTCTCCGCTCTGCAATTCGCGTTCTACGAGCAGGAGCAAGCGATGGCCAAGGAGTGGGTTGGCAAGCGAGATATCGGATTAGGACTGGAAATTGCGACTGCCGCTACTGCGGGTGGCATGGCTGGAGTGATCACCTGCCCCTTGGATGTGGTCAAGACGCGCATCCAAACGCAAAAGAATATTCCAGATAGCCCTCCGAGCTCATCTTGTACGAAACACTCCCACGACCACGCACCCAAGGAAAGTCCTCGACCGCACGCGCCGGGCTCCTCAAATTCCCAAAGCTCGCGCTCACACTCCCGTCCGATTTCGACCTCATCCCCGTCGACCTCGGTGCCGGCCCCTGGGGCTCCTCGATTAGATACATCGTCGGTGTTCACCGGGCTGAAAATGATCTACCGAACCGAGGGGTTGGCGGGGTGGTTCCGAGGCGTGGGCCCGCGTGGTGTGTGGACCAGCATCCAGAGCGGGACTATGCTGGTTATGTACCAGTATCTGCTCAAACAACTCGAGACATACCACGGTGTAGAGGACTGGTCTCCTCTGTGATTGAAGCATGAAGCGCACTTCACTCTGCATTACCCGGCTTTCATTTGGGTGGCGTTATTCTGGAACCCATTGTATTCTCTTTTTTTTGGATTGGGGCGGATGAAGGAGGAGCCATATTTGTTTTTGCGCGTTGTACATCACCAGCTCCCATCCTTGTCCTTGTGATAGACTAGACGGGCCACTCAGCCCACCTGTACCATACTACTCTCAGCTACATGAACTTGTATAAATAATAACATTACTGTTAAGCATCATTGCACTCGTCCATTATTTTCTCCAAAGAAATACCATATAGCTTGATGAAAACATACATTATACAATTGGTACTGATACGACCCCCACCCCCCGCCCAAGACCTGGAGCTACTATGGCCTCTTCATCGTGTGACGGTGATACAAGTAATTCTGTAGCCATCGTTATCTACGAAATCGCGAGCCTCTGGCCGGCAAACCGAGTCACAGGAGGGATCTTTGCTCATAGTAACCCCCCTGGTGCCGCTAAGGAGGTAATTAAGATATGATATAGCGGCTCCTCGGGGGCTGTCGACGAAGATTGTGTTATGGCAGGTGAGGATCTCAAGTCTTATTATCCATCGATATGTGCCTGTTGTCGTCTGCAGTAGCCCTATAATTCGAGCTCGTGCTTGGACCGAAAGTAATTGAATATCTGTCAATGCCTCGTCAATGATGACAAATGAGGGCATGTGAGAATCGCCTGTGAAAGTAGGATCAGTTGAGAGGAAATACGCTTTTTGTCTCGCAGGCGGGATGTTTACCTTAAGGCACTGTCAATTGCAAGGAAGGTAAGGTTTGAAGAGTTGCTCCTTCCACGTTGCGGTCGACCACTCCTGCCAGATTACCTAGTTAGTAGTAGGTTTGTATACGCGGGAGTGATCCCTTATCGTTCCTAGTAAAGAAAAGGAAGAAGTCATTTTCAAAGCATATAAGAAGAAAGAAAGAAATAGATTCTCCTCTCAAGCATCAGTGGGACGATTCAGCTTTCTGTTCCATGGCCAAGACAGTGCCATCTTGCTTGAGGCCGTTCATGAGAGAGGTGATCGCAGATGAAATATGTGTACAATATTTCCGGAAATCGGTGTCACCCCCTGCACTCTTTAATTGTCTTCCAAGCCCTAAATACCAAGAAATGCTAAACCGTTTTGGATGGCACTGTTTCGCCGCCTTGGTTTCGATGCTGCATTGCAAATAACCGGACTCTCGTGATAGCGGGAAAGCGCGTCATTACCTAACATCTCTCTTGCCGACCGCTTTCCCAGAAACCCCGCCCATCTCAAGAGCCTCGGCCCCATCTACCTCGAGGGCCGTGAACCCTATGTCTGCATTTCGTTTGACATTGCCTGAAGTGACGTATCAAACATGCGTGAATCACTAAGAAAATGCTCTCCCAAACGCGACCGCCCCAAAGTACCTTTGGATCAACGAAAACGAACTGTCAAAGCCTGCGCCCAGTGCCGTCTGCGCAAGCGTCGATGCATACTTGATTCTTCCAACAGATGCAGGAATTGCAAGAACAGCAGTCTGGCCTGCAATTTTGAAGCGAAGAAGGACAGTCTAGTTGATTCAGCGTCTAGGTAGCTCACAAATTACAGAAATCCCCTCATTTGATGCAATCTAATTCGCGCAGTCAAACTCGTATTGATCATGACGATGTTCTAGCACGGTTCAATATATCATACCCGGAGATCGGTCTCAGGGCCCACCACTTATCTTTTCTCATGGAAATACTGACGGACTCGCACCAAAACTCTGGAGAGGTTTCCTCAAAACAAAAGAATACATCTCATCATAATACTACACAACTATCACAGAATGGAACTAGACCTATAATTGCAGAAAGCCCCCTCCTTAAACAAGGACAAAAGCCTGGTAGGGGAAGATTCAGCCATAATTGTCCACTTGATTTTACTGATAATTCTACCGAAGGTGATGATATTCTCTCTCTCACAGAGACTTTCTCACATGCGCCGCTGCAGCAGTTTCCCAGTCTGAGGGACTAGATCTTACAGAAAATACCGTGAGTCACATAAAAGAAGCTTCATATAGGTCTCTTCCTCTGACATTTATCGACTTCCTCAATTAGACCTTTCATGCCACATATGATTCATGTTATGGAAATCAGACTATCCTCAGACAGCAGATCTTGAAAGACTTTCCCTCACGAGCCGGGGCCGAAGTTCTCATGTCGGCATTTTTCTTTTATGCTGAGGCCAACTGGTACTATTTTGATGAAACTTCGTTTAGAGAGCAGCTATTCATACTGTATGATGGTGGCCTATCGGCGACCTCTCACCGTCTTGAGTTCATTTGTTTGGCCCTAAATGTGTTTGCTATGGGCAGCCAGTTTGTTCATCTATATCATGATGACCATTCGAGTCACTCGGAAGCCATGAATGCGGTTCACACAGGAATCCCGGGGACAAAATTTTTCCAACACGCGCAGAAACTTGTGCCGTCTATAATAGCTTCTCCTTCCCTGGAAGGCTTGCTGAGCTGTCTGCTGCTTGCCCTGTATGTTCTGCCGATTCACAGCAGTGAAACTTGCTACAATTATCTTGGTCTTGCTTTACGCATTGCAATTGGCCTCGGCCTTCATCGAAAATCAGCTGGCCCGGCATTATTTCCGTCACTTTCAGAAGCCCACAACCGTGTTTTCTGGACTATCTACAGCATCGAACGGTAGGCTTTCGATACAACCTTAATTCTGACTTTTACCTAATAAAAAAATTTAGACAGGTTGCCCTCTCTCTTGGCTACCCCGAGACGCTACAGACCAAGGATATCGACTGCCCCCTTCCCGAGCCGCAGCCTGATCTAGATTTTCCGGGCTCATATAGAGCTGAAAGGCTGCTAGCGTATACAAAGTTGACTCTCTTGCTCAATCAAGTGACCTGCTTAAAGTGAGAAGCCTATTTTAAACTGGATGAAGGAAGCCGGATATCATAGGCAGTTGACATGCTAATTCTCATCAGGTCCTTGAATCAAGGTTCGACAAAGGATATCCGAAGTCAGCTTTCGTCTTGGAAAACAGGTCTACCTACTCAATTAGCATCACTTAACGACAGCTGTCTACGACTGAACGTGCATTTACAGCTCCACTACTCCATGGTCTGGATCTATATCGGTCGCGCTGCCCTGATCAGTAAGGTTCGAAGCTTACTCAGCACAGAGGAGCCCGCAAAACGCGGCCATGACCTAGACGGAGACAGTCAAGAGTTATCGGATGCTTGCGCGGAACACGCAACGAGGATAATTGATCTAATTGATCTCCTCCAAAGATCTGGGCAACTAGGTCTATTTTCCTTTACTGATTTTCATACCTGCAGCGCCGCAACTATCATTGTTCTACTGGATAGTGTCTTAAACCCACGTCTGTCATCATTTCCCAAAGTTAGGACGGCAATGGGAGCTCTACAATATATGGCTGCTGGTAGTGACTTGGCCAGAAATAGTCTCAAGTATGTCGAAAACTTCCAAGGCGTGGTTAACCAAGCCTTGGCATCTATTTCACGTCTGGAATATGAAAAGTCTCACTCTCGGAGAGAGAGTGGCTCACCTCAGTTCGGAGAGCCCTGTGAAGAGACTATTTTACAAAGATTGGACATGTCATATCAGCACGGAGGCGAAGGGTCTAGCATGGGGTTGTTTCACGACATAGACACCGTGCTTGAGAACTGTTCATTTGCGGAGTTACATCTCCTCGGGCTTGATAGCCTGCAATTAGGGAACTTATAAAGTTCGAATGGTTGAATTTGTATTCAGCGTGAATGCAAACATAGTATTTTTCCACCCTAATCTCAATAAAATGCCGTATATCACCCGTCATTGCCTGCTTCCTACGTTTTAAAAATTTCCCGGTCCAGCAGCCACAAGTTAAAGGGTATATCGGAAATTTAAATCTTCTTTGTCCGTCAAATCTTTTCTGGGAGCCCCCGTAACGTGTTGGCAAAAGTCTATCTCCACCATAGACCGGACTTTGTTCTCATGAGCACATAAGGACCAATAAACCGCCACGGTTGGAATGAACACAATCCAGCTGATCAGAGCCAATATGAGACCACTACGATACCTGGGTGCATTTTCAGCGTTCCAGAGTAGTGGTCCACATATAGCACCAACGGCGTAGCCGACGAAGAACAAAGCGTTGATAATAGCTTTTTTGGTATTTCCACGAGTATTGGATGCGTACAAGCTAAGGGGAATTGAGAAGATGTTTGAGATGACAGAGGCCTGTACGGAACAAATTAAATCAGTGACGTCAGCACGTAGGGAAGAAGAAGTTGTTGGAGGGAGGGAGAGAGGTTGAGGGAAGGGGGCGCGGAAAGGATTTCAGCCATTTACATACCAGCCATGATGCAGCAATCATACCCCACCCGGACGACAATGGAAGCACAAACAGTAGTATAATTCCAGTGAGCGGGACGATTGTAAGACCAATGATGATAGCACACCGGCGATCTGGCCATAGGTAGCAGAGAAAAATTCCGACCCAAACGAAAATAATCTGAACTGCACCTGCTGGTGAGGTGTAAAGCATGGTTTCAAAGTTTGAGTAACCTAGAGAGTATATGATAAGTGAAGCAAACTATGTCGAAAAAGAATCAGTAATTGCGCAAGGTGTGCCTTCTTCCAAAGAACTGCGAAACTCACCGCAATTACTGGCGAAGGTAGTGTTATGAGAACACCAAACAGGAAGCTCAAATATGCTCGAATATCCATGACCGTTTCTTTCAGTTGTGGGATAGAGAAATTTGTTTGGTCTCCTCCTCTCTGTTTCCGCTTGCAATCGTTGTGTGGCTATTAGTCGCTCTTGAGAATTGAGAAACCACGCTGATTCAGGTCCAGCTGGCATCATGAAAAAGAATAAAATCCCAAGAAATATCGTGATAGCTCCACAGACCATGAACATTGCCTTCCAGTTGGAAATTGCCATATGATTGTGGCCGATGCCGTACATCATCAAAGCACCCAGTATCTGAGCTAGTCCATTGCAGCTGATCCATAGACTAGGTTTTGAAATTGATGGTCAGATTTAGAAAGAAATATAGATTTGGGGACGTTGGAGATATCCTACCCGATTCGTAGAGGATGCTCGCTTTTTTTATACCAAATACTAGTGAGGGTCACGAAGGCAGGCGAGACCGCGCCTTCGGCCAATCCAAGGGCGAACCGAACACCCATGAAAGATGAAAAGGTGGTTGCTGCTGCCAGACACTATTTTGATTTTCTGTGAGCTTTAGGACACGCACATGTTCAGTTTCATATATTTAAATTACCATGCAAATCCCACCCCAGAGTATGCTAGATTCAGTCAGATGTTATCACGACATTGCCAGTGTTAAACTCACATTAGACAGGATACAAATCTAGCAAGGGGCAGACGGCTCATCAAATACATGGCTGGGAACTCCGCCACCAGCTGCCCAACGTAAAATATGGACCCTAACCAGGCGAACTGGGTGCCGTGAAGTTGCAGGTCATCTATCAATCCAAACACCCCGGCATAACTTAGACTCTGTTTGTCAAGGTCTGAATAAGGGACATCAGCGGGCATCCAAAAGCAAAGCAACATGAGTTCCTTAGGGCTTCTAACGCAGGAGCCAAAGCTTGAGATAACTTACATTGAGAAAAGAATACCAAACACATCTTCATGCCTCTCACTATCAGTACGTCATTCTCATAATATCATGAAGAAGATCAAACGGCTAACCAATGGCAAGACAATTGCATCAATCTTTCTTTTCACAGATCTCTCCATCTCAGGGTTGATAAGGACTGCTGATGTGTCTGCTTGAGAGCCTGTCTCGAGAGTAGATTCATCCAAATTCATTTCTGCTGTTTTGGCTTCGAGCTGATTCATTGTGATCTGGCTGGTATATTTAACGAATAATTGACATCCAAGAGGTGTGAAATCTCAATGAGGAGAAAGACGATTCGGAGCAGATAATTCTAGGGCCTTTATATACATTTTAAGCTGATGAATATCCCCGGACCCCGGATTCTGCCTATCTCTCGACAGTAATTAACAGCGGCTAGCTGCGTGGGCCCCATAGAGAGCAAGAGGTTTTCTAAGCCCCTAATTTATTTTTGGCTTTATCTCTCGCTGGTTTTATCGATAAATTATGTAGGGGGCAGAGGGCAGGATGACTTGTGATAGGTAGGTAGGCTGTAGGCGGTGGAATTTGCGGGTACAAGTACCCGCAGTGTCACCTACACCTTTTGCCACTTGAGCAGCTTTGATATGCGGGTACTTGTACCCGCACGTCAAATTTTGGCAACATTACTTTTATCGATCCATACAACACTGTCGACAGTAATAATGGGTCCAAGTAAATTATCAATCGGTTTCCTGCTCGGATCCCATGCAGACTACATTATAAAAGCTGCTGCCACTGCGTTAGAAAGGTCAAGTTTTTCTTTTTCATCCTATTATCAGCCTATGGAATCGAGAAAAAGTCTTCAAGATCTTCAAACCTAACGGATCAAAATTAGTTCCGTTACATGTTTCGTCTTGTCACCGCTACCACCATGACAACTGATCCGACCGACCTTCAGCACATTGTCAAGCCTTGGCAGCCAAACCCTCAACGGACGTATATCTTTACGTCTGCCAACTTGATTGACCCTGTCACTGGTACAATAGCGAAAAACACCACAGTCAAACTCTCCCATGGATTTGTATCATCGGTCAGAACCTCCGAAGAAGGGGTTGCCGACAAGGTCGATCCTGAAGCAGTGCAGGTCGACATGAGAGGCAAGTATATCTGCCCGGGCTTGATTGATTCCCATGTCCACATAGCTGCAGTTCCTGGGTCTTTGAGCCTTCGAGAAATGAAAGAGATGAGTAACCACCAGAGCATTCTGCGGCAACCGAGCGTTTGCAAGTCCATGCTGGCCCGTGGGTTTACGACGGTCCGAGATTGTGGAGGAGCGTCTCTTGCCCTGAAAGAATCACTCCAGGAGGGCATCATATGCGGGCCAAGATTGTTCATTGCTGGACATGCCCTCTCCCAAACAGGAGGTCATGGAGATCGTCGCCAACAGCATGATCCAAATGAGTGCTGCGCGGGACATGTGAATGGGATTGGTCGTATCGTGGATGGAGTGGATCAGTGCCTGAAGTATGCTCGCGAGGAGTTGCGACAGGGCTCGGACTTCATCAAAATCATGGGTGGCGGTGGGGTTGCTAGCCCTACAGATCAGATCCAACACCTTCAATTCTCCGATGAGGAAATCAGGGCGATCGTCACAGTGGCCAACAATGCGGGGACATACGTTACCTCCCACGCGTATACGCCGCAAGCGATCCAGCAGGCTGTCAAACAAGGGGTCAAGGGGATTGAACATGGCAATCTGATTGACGAAAACACAGCGGAAATGATGAAGCAAAATGGCGTCTTTCTCACGCCCACTTTAGTGACATACGCGACGATGGCCGCTCCACAGTTCAGCGGGTTCCTCCCCGCTATTTCTGAAAAGAAAAATCGCGAAGTCTTGGACCAAGGCCTGCGCGCCCTGGAACTAGCCAACAAGATTGGGGTAGATATCTGCTTTGGTACAGATCTCTTAGGTCCCTTGCATTATGCCCAAAGTAAAGAATTTGCCATTCGAGGTAGTATCCAAACACCTGCGGAGATCCTTCGAAGTGCTACCACGACTCCTGCGCGGATGCTGAGACAGGATAACTTCCTCGGAAAAATTGCCCCAGGGTTTGCCGCCGACATGCTCGTCTTGAACGCCAACCCCTTGGATGATATCACCATTTTTGATCGACCGGACCAACACTTGCTAGCAACCATCAAAGAGGGCCGTGTTTTGAGTTCGCGTTGGAGTCTCTTAGATGCCGAGGCAAGCCACCTGCCCAAAATCGAGTGACGGGAGATGTATTAGAAGAAAGAAGACGAACATTGGAAATGAAGAAAAGATTGTGAAAGTTATTGAAAACGCACTAGTAGTAGCGGCGGTCTGTTTCTGGGAAACGAGAGCGAAAGGTTTTACAGCCGCGATCGATTTATGTGCGCAGCGTGCAAGAGATGGCCGCGCAGGACAGGATATCAGAGTGTAAACAAAACAAATAATAAATCTTTTCTTGATCTTCGAGTCATCTGGAAATAACATTTTGCCTTGAATCGTGGCGTCTATTGGTAGCAGATGACGAGAAGGCGCTGGGGCCAACGACATCTTCCCCTGTTTTCATTGGCACCTCCCGATTATTGACTGCAACTAGACTGTCTCTACGGTAGTGCGTAAACGACAGCAGAATCTCACCATAGGTTCCTTTCAGGTATCTGAAGAAACTTGAATATAGACCGGGAGGGGTCTCGGGTAAATAGGCTGGTATGAGAAACTACGGCAGTAGCCATGGCTGGAACGCAATCCGAGTTGTGTTTTCATAGTTAATGTCCCATAAATTGCGATACATCAAAGCCTACAAAGCCTTCTGTTCCGGAACACCATTCAAAATGAGGTAAACAAAAGAGATCAGAACTTCGAAGCGCAAGTGGGCAACTTCGGTGGCTTCGAGAATCGTGAGAAAGGGCCCAAGGAGGAAGCACAGTTCAGAGCCTTCGTTCAGGCCAGCCTTCAGTTCTGATCCGCGGATCTCCTTCCGACAGTTCAGATCAGAGCTGTAATGCTAAGAGCCGGAGAAGGTAAGGGATCTCAGTAGGGTAGCCCATTCGGGCATTGTCATTCATCCTTGGCCACCCAGGCCAGATTACATATTTCGTAAGAATAGCTTAGATTGGAGCCGTAAGGACAGAAGGAGAAGAGAATTTCTTAAGTGCTTATGATGGGCGCAAATACAAATTACCCCAGGGTTCGAAGGAGACTACTGAAGGGGTCCTACCCGCGCGGAGAAAACCCTAGATATAGTATTATGTACGGAGTATATCATGATATCTAGGTAGTATGTAATGTAGAGAGTGGATCACATGATCGACGGTCACCCTGGGGCAGTTACGTAGTTACCCCGTATGTACAATACACACAGCTTCTATCAATTTGATCTCTCATAACCTTCCACTGTATATATCACTACTTCAAGTCCATGAATTACTTATAAGATAAAACACTCATAGCCAATATACATTCGGCGTTCTGAACTCGCTGGATATAGTACTTCGTAGATGGCATCCATTCTCGTGAGGAATCCACAAACGCGCTAGCGTGTTTTGTTTTGGCGATCCCGCGTAAACAAGCCAAACACCCCCAAATCCACTTCAATCCAATCCCCAATTCCCCTCCTTGCATCTCCACGCTCCCCTCCTCTGATATCTACCTTTTTGCCTCGCGCATTGGTCCACTTTACCACTACATCTGGCGGCTTTTTTTCTATTCACCATTTCACTATGTCCAGTGGCCTCCCCACCCTCAACCGGCTGCGCAAGCCGGAGCTACTTGAGATCGCCGAGCGAACCAACCTCACCGAGTATGTGGATGTTGTTTACTATTCAATTGCCTCTGTCGCGCACGCGCGCAACCTCGAAATTCGGATGAAACGATCATCTACCTTTTGTTTTTACCCGTTAATTTTAACCTGTGCTAATCATCTCATCTTCTGCCTCGTAGTTTCTCCGATTTAAACAAGGGCGATCTCGCCGTCGCGCTAGACAAGCACCTCAGCGATAACAAAGCCACTCTATCCAACGACACCAAGCTCGCCGACTACTACAAGCGCCTGGCTGCGCCCGCGCGCGGAGAGTCCCCCATCAAGCGCGAACCCAGAATCGAACTCGGCACCCCCGCGTCGGAGAAGAAGACGCCTGGTCGCAAACCCAAGCAACGCGAGAGTGCTAGCAGGTAAGAGCTATCCCACCCAATATAACTCGGCCGAGTCTGTCGCAAACAACTAACAAACTGCGACAGCGAGTCCGAAGATGCCACCAAGTCCCCCGCCTTCAAGACCCCCATGACCAAGGCGCCCGCCTTAGTCGCGCGCTCCTCATCGCGCGCCGTGCGGTCCGTCATTGAATCCACGGCCCAACAGCTACCCCCATCCCCGGCAATCGTCACCGACGCAATTGACCGCCAGACAGCGCGCATGCGCGAGGGTCTCGAGACAGCATGGACAGACTCAGGTGTGGTGGAGTACCAGCACGCCGTGCGCTCCGCACTAAGCAGCCTCAAGGCCGTCGAGACCATCGTCCTCCTCCTGGAGGGTGGAAGCATGCTGAAAGAGCTCGTTCCGTTGCGCTATCTCACGACTACCCCCGCCGTTGAGGCGATTCACCTCCCCTCCCTTCCAATCAAGGTCCCCGATCTATTCGTCCTGTTGAGCGGGTCGTTCTGGGCTCCGTTCACGCTGTGGCTGCTGTCCGGTCTGATCCTGCCTTTGATCGCGGCTTACTTTATTAATCTGAGCTACCAAGCTGCTACCGGTGGCTCCGGCGGCGTGCGTCGTAGTCGTTCGTCGTCCGTTGCATCTGATCGCGCAAGTTTTGATCCGCTTACCTTCAATATTGCCAAGGCCTTGCTTGTTTACAAGGTGTATGTCGATCACTTTGGCTTCTTTGATCTGTTCAGTCACTATACCATTGCCAAGGTCAATGCCTCTGTGCCTGGCCACTGGGGTGGTATGTTGACCGGTACCGCTATTGGAGTCATCGGAACTCTCTACGAGGCTATTTTGCACCGCCAATAGATGCTGTGGGGTGTTGTCGGTTGGTACTGGATAAAACGGTTGTTTTTACTTTCGTCTGCCTCGGGGCTGTACAGGAGGTCGAGCTGGGCTTGCAGACTGGGATGAGAGGTTTTTTCCTATTAGGTAGTGCTGATGCGATGTGAATCTGCTTTTTATTTGTGTTTCTCCACCCTATGTTTCACGCGTTTTGAAAGACCCCTTCCCCCAAGGGTCGTTATCCGCTACTGTTATGTACCACTCTGGTTATATCAGGTCGGACCGGTTTCTGTTGGATGATATCCTCTTGTGTTTTTTCCAAGGCGTGTCGTGGGTTTTCTACTGTTCTTGTCGCGACCTCATGCTACGCTATGCTACCTTTATTTTATGTTTTCTGCGAATTAATGCGCCACACCGAGTTCTTGATCCGATTGTTAGTGGTTGGGATACGCGATAATGCGATACGCGAATATTTGCTTCTTATACTCCCATGGTTTCTGTTCTCCTCCCCTTTATCACATTCTTGGTCTCTCGTTTCAGCCAGAGAAGGCGCCTGGGTTTGGAATTCTAGTCTTGGTTCTTGAGTTTTGGAACTCTGCCTCTTGTAATGCGTTTGGAAGTTCTTTATTTCATCTAATTTTTCTTACCTCCCTTTTGAGTCTATAGAATATCTGGTAGGGAGGTAGGGGTATCAATGAGCAAAGTATAGTAAACATCCGAGAACCTTGGAAATCTTGTCGTTCCCCATTAGATCATATCACATCCATCACCTCGCTCCGTCTCAGGTCGAACATATGGAGTAGCCCATATCTCCCAACCTCATCGTTTCAATCTCTCCGCCAATTCAACAGTGAAGAGTACCGGCACCGACGTTTCGACTGAGACCACATCAGCACGAATGTGATTACTTGTCGAAAGCTGTCCTCCAATCTCGGTGTGCCAGTTTTCCACGTCCCATTCAAAGCCTTGCGTGGTAATCCACGCCGGTGCCGAGAGTGGGATGATACCGATATTTTCTTCGAATAGATATTCCGGAGAATCATCAGCATTGTTAGTGACAGAGTCCCGGCCCGGTTCCTGGCTCCGCTTGCGTTTCCGTGATTCGGGCGTTTCATCGCATTCTGATTGCTGGGTATCAGCCTGGGGGCGTCTGGTAGCCGGCGTGTGGATTATATTCTTCCCCTTCTGAAGAACAAATGTAATACTTTCTTCGGAAACGAGGTAGAGATTACCACCCGCAGCCGGGTTTGGCTTTGACTCGTTATTCTCCTTATCTTGGCCGCCTTGTTGAGATTCGCGTATTTCACGCTGCGTCTGCGTCATCATGTATAGATGGTGAACTTGCGAGAATGCTTGGTCAACGCGGCCGCCAAGGCCGCCCAGGATGACCATTTCCAATTTGACGTCGGAGTCTGCGTTGTTCTGGGCATTTGTTGCGTTTTCCGCCTGCTTGCGGGGTGTTGCGATGATCTCTGATGCGTTTTCGTTGAGGTATTTCAGACATTTGGTGAAATCTGTTGAATATTGGTCTGGGTCTTTGTTGATTGGGACGCCGAGCTTTTGATAGTGCTCTTTCACGGCTGGTTTGAGAGAATCTAGGTCACCCATGATCCTGTCTGGGAGCTGGTATCAAGGGTCAGTATTTGTATGTGCTCACGTGCCAATTTGGATTATATGTCTCCGGAGGATACTCGGATACACCAAGCTTGAAAGTCTTGACTGAATACCTCTCGTCCAGATCCGATTTTTATCGCACCGGTCCAAAGTTGTACTCGCAAAATAAACTTACAACTGTTGATTCTTTCCCATGGTGCTTCAGCATTTCATATAGACGGTTTGCCCCGCCATCGGCACAGATGATGTAGGAAGCTGCAGAATATTAGATATACTCGAATCGAAGAACGAAACCCCTTGATATCACTCTCAATGCATATGCGCATTGCTAGGATGAATCAGGAGCTAGGGCTGTTTGCTCACCATGTTCACTTAATACCCCAAAGGCCGTTTCGTTGATTGGCTGGTTCAACACCAGCAAGGCATATGGCGAGACATGACCACCTGGACGAAAGAACTGGCTAGGATCCCACTCCATGATTCAATATCATTAAGAGTATTCCTACTCTTCCTCCGCGGAGTGCAGAAAAATGCCACAAGTGTCTTACTGTGTAGAAATGGCCTGGAAAGATGTTGCCGCAGCGGAAGCAACGTGACTGGTGCACCACTGGCGCGGCCCGCCAACCTCAGGCCGAAATCCCGAAATCCACTCTTCTTCCACCAACTTCTCCGTTCCGCTTCCTGCTCCCTCTCCCTCCCTTTCAGCGTCGTTTGGAGGTCTTTTACGGTCCCAATTCACATCCCACTCGCTTCACCTCATAATGTTTCGTCCCGCCGTACGAGCGCTCGCCCGCGCACCCATCGCCGCGCCCTGTGGCCCAGCCAGCAGACGATTGATAAGCACCGGTCCTACCAAGTCGAGAAGCTGGAAGAACACCGTCCTCCGACTTGGTCTGGCTGGTGGTGCGGTCTACTACTACAACACTAGCAGCGCATTCTCCAAAGAGCCCGAATGTATGTCTGACGCGGTAGACCCCTCCCTCCCTCCATGACCAGCACCGCCATGCGGAAGATGCAGACTTAGCCCGGATAATCGCATCTCGGCGCCAATTGCTTCTTTAATCAAATCGAACATGCATTCTAACAATCACATTCGCACCAGTCTCCATCCTCTCCAAGCTCCAAGAAAACAACGCCAACGCCTCGTCCCAGACCCTCGACTCCATCACCCCGAAGATCCGCGAAGAGCGAGCTGCAGCCCGCAAGGCTAGCGTGAACCCGGAAGAGCTCGAGAAGGAGGCTGGCCAAGAAGCCGCTTTCAACCCCGAGACCGGCGAGATCAACTGGGACTGCCCGTGCCTGGGTGGTATGGCGCATGGCCCTTGCGGAGAGGAGTTCAAGGCTGCGTTCAGCTGCTTCGTGTACTCGGAGGAGGAGCCGAAGGGCATGGACTGCATTGAGAAGTTCCAGTACGTGTTTCCGAGATGATGCCATAGCCCGGGGACTGCATTCCAATACTAACGCGAACTGTAGGGGCATGCAAAATTGCTTCCGCGCACACCCCGACGTGTACGGTGCCGAGCTAGAGGACGAGGATGCTGAGGCTGAGGTCGGTGTCTCCGCCCCCGTCGAATCTCCCGAGCAGCCCGCAGCTGTCGCCGATATCGACGCCGCTTCCCAGCCCGAGGAAGTCATCGCCGAGGTGAAGGCTGTCGAGGCCGAGAAGACCGAGACCGCTGAGTCTTTGGTTCCCGAGGCCGAGAACAAGAACCAGGAGGTCCAGAAGACCGAGAACTGAGTCGATGTTTAATTATCAAAGTCTCGCTAAGTTCTTCTGACCCCTCCCGAAGAGGCCGGTACACCGTCAAGTCCGGTTTAACCTCTCTCCTCTCCGATGCAAGTGCGAATCGAGATCGGGGGGTGTGTATTATATAAAAGTCCCCTCGCCGTCTCCCCGGTTTCTAATCTCCGCTACATCGTCTCCCATGATCTTTCAGCATATTCATTCCCCCGTTCTGCGCTCCTATGTCTTTCATCTTTTCTCGAGTGTAACTTAGACTATTGTATTGATATGCTCTGTGTTCCCGCCTGGTTTTGGACTCCAAAACAAGGGAAATAGAATAGACTTGTTGCATTATGCTTTCTCTATTCAGTTCGAAATCAGAATATAGTCTGCCTCGAAGTAAATGAGTTCGAACTGAAGCCCTTACACTGCTAGTAGTAGTGTATGTGTGATCAGGATTCAATTGAAGTGGAATTCGACGAAATGCCATATATTTAACAGCCACTCCTGCAGGCTTTAACGAATTTTTTCGAATCTTCATGATAGGATAGCAGGAAAAAGTACATTGAGATGACAAAACTAACCACAATCCATCTGTATATGCGGATAAAATGGTCTTCCGCCTCCCCGAAGTTAGCTTTCCCCCGCATGAATCTCCCATGCGGGGAGACCTCTCAGCTGGAAAATCTAACGCCTTTCCCCATATCCTGGACGCTGAAAATGACAAAAAGGCTACCTCTCAGTTGTGAAAACTGTCGACGGAGAAAGATACGCTGTTTAGGATCTGGGGTGCCCTGTGATACCTGTCGAAAGCGTGGCGTGGCGTCGACATGTCAGTTCAAGCGCGAGGTTGAACAAAATCCCCAGCCAGAGCGACATGAAACGAAGCATGAGGAACTTCTACAGCGGATTTCAGACTTGGAAAGTCTACTCATTCGAAATATTGAAGTTACCTCGGCCTCCAAGGCTCATAATCACGCACTCCGCTCGCCCGTGTCCCATGATGATCTCCCTCCATCGCAGGACGAACTATCTGAGATTACCGTCTCGGAATATATGCAGGACCACCATGCCAACCAAAGGTACATCGAGTCTCAACGTGGGGAATTTGGTAATATTATCGCATCATCGTCGGGCCATGTGCGATATGTTCCTTACAGTACCTCTCGCGACCCTGATGCTTTCCATTCGCTGCAGAACCGATCTCAATTAGAATCACCGAGTGGCGCTTTTTTATTCACCGATACGCTTCCCAGCATACAGAGCCTTTTAGACATATTGCCACCATTTCGACATTGTGACGAACTCCTTGGCGTTTTTCTCGATGTATTCTCCCCTCTCTTCCACATTCTCCACGACGGGACCTTCCATTCGAATTATGCCAGATTCAAACAGGACCCTAGAAACTCCCCTGTGTCTTTTATTGGATTGATCTTTGTTGCCCTGGGGCTGGCTGTCACCGCTATTGACAAAGAAAGCCCCATCCTAGCAGACTTGGGTCGAGAGGCTTCCACGGCAGAAAGCGCGAGGATATTGGCAGCAAAATACCGACAGGCGGCAATGAAATGCCTGGCCGCTGATAACTTCATGTGGCAGCATAATCTGCACACTCTGCAATGCCTGATTCTACTTATATATGCGATCAATCATGCCCAGGGCCCCGCCTGGGCCCTCCTTGGAACGACGCTTAATATTGCCATTGCCATTGGGTGCCATGTTGATCCTGCGCTTCTTGATTTGCCTCCTATTGAGGTACAAGAGAGAAGACGAGCGTGGGCAGGATTAAGGATGCTTTACACGATTCAGAACACCTGTCTGGGTAATTTGGCCCCATTTCAAGTCGAGAATAATGTCCAACTGCCGGCAGACGTCGAAGACGATGAGATTGGCGCACACTCGCTCCATGAACCTGCGAATGAACGCGAGACATCTTCGAAACACAAAAGTCCCACTAAAATGTCTTATATTTTGTTCAAATTCCGTCTCTACTCTCTGGCATCTGAGATATGCGCTCTGAGCACGAAAGGGCCCACGTCCTGCACGGACAAGATACACGCATTGGATGACCAGCTTCAGACTGAAATGTATGCGCAGGCAGAACGCTTCCACGAGCAACTCGGTCTGCCGACATATCATCAAGCACATTCATTCATTTTAAACAATTACACTAACCATCTAGTTCTACTCTTGCATCGGATCTATCTCTTCAACCCAGAGGGAACAGAGGACGAGAATCTGACAACAAGCTACGCAAAATGCGAGCAGGCTGCTCTCGCCATCCTTTCAAATTACGAAATCCTCAGTCTACGACTTGAATTCAAACCATACAGCTGGTATATCCATGGCCTGGGGTCATTCCACGCCTTTCTAGCAATATCGACCCTCCTGGTTCTCCTGGGAAAGCCCCGAGCTCCCCAAATCCCCAAACATCTCATATTGCAAGCCGTTCAAAGTTGCCTCCAGAGATTCCATGACAATACCCCATCCAGCGAGATATGTAGTCGCGCTTTCTCAATACTGGATCCATTGACGGCGGGAGAGCTTCTCCAATCTGCCCCAATCCTCGCCTTCGCGGATGATAAATGTGATTCAAGAGGTACTGCAAGTGGGGTCGAAGCCAGCAACGAGTCTATGACAATAGACACAATCGGTTCATCCGACAACTTCGATTCAACTTTCTGGTCATTACCAGAAAGCTTCGAGGACATAGTGTCAAGAATTCCATGCGAGCAGTGGCTTTCTCCGGCAGGATTTCCATGGACAGATTGATGCTCTTCGGACGTACCTATCGTGACAACAAAATTTGGGCAGGAATGGGGGCTAGACTCGCAATTTCGTCACCCATTTCATGTATACTTAGATCTCTCGTTTCTCAAATGTTTCCCAAGCGGAATCTTCACTTAAGCCTTACATATGTGATCATTGTATCGTAAGCGAAGGTTGAAGTGCTTCTGGAGGAGGCATACTAGTGGAAGCATAACAGCGCATGCTATCTATCTCCCACCGACTCCATTGTGTCTACTCCTAATCGCCTCTCATGTTTAAATCGTCTGCCATGACTCTACGTTGTATTGCTGAAACAATCCCATCGAAATAATTTCCATTCATTGAGAATTTCCATCAAATGCTGGTGAAGTCAAACAGCCGAGTACATTTCAAATGTTGGTAGTTTGATAGGGGTGACTCCACCACCCCATAGTCCAGCACAACCGGCCCAATCTACTCAATCACGATTAATCCTGATCATGCAATACGAGACACGTAAAATGGAATGGTACTCACAAGAGAGAAACGAAACAGCAAGCCCGAAAGAATAACCGGCAGTCAGAAGAGCATTGATGTTGGCCATGAAGCCAGAAGCCAGAAGCAAAAGACAAATGTCCAAGAAGAACAAGTCAATGAAAAGAACCCAGGAAGATCGTATTGCTGCGATGGTAAATACCACGGTCACGATAAACCACGCCCACAAGTATAACGCCAGCGCCTGGTTGAAACTTGGATCCACGACACCGGTAGCGGCATCAGTGTATGCAGACAATATGCCTGTTCCGGGGAGGTAAATCATTGCATACGATAAATTGAACGCGCCGTACGACGAAAATACAGTGGCACCGAACTGTGAATAAAGTAGTACATATGTCAGCAAATCTCCCGGCTTATCGATCCCGGGTCAAGGGTCCAGCGACCTACCGTGTTTCCAGTGATGAATTCCATGATGCCGGCAATGAACTGACCAACACCACCATAGAATACCAAACACCCAATCATCACATTAGGCGCTGAGATACTCCTGGCGTGGAGCCCGAACACGGAAATCAGAAAGATATCTACAGGATTAGTCAGATATCATCAATAGGGGAACGGTGATATACCTGTGGCAAAGGAGATCAGTCCCAGAGGAGAGGGGCTCGCAAACGTGCGATGATAGACAGGAAGAGCTGGCTGGCTTCGATCGTTCACATGTCCGCCTGCAGTGTGAAGCCGTTCTAGGTGGTCTGCGTGAGACGAAGGAGACATATTCTCTTCCTCCGATTTGGTGACAGCGAAATCATTTGAGTCCATGGCCCTTGACAGATGATTGAGTAAAGCACGAGTAGTAAGTATATCCTCCAGGGTTACAGTTTTCTTTGGATGGAACCGTTCGCGATTCCAAGGTTTATATACGTTCCAAGGCTGCCAGCGTATTTCTCAGTGGAAAAGCACTCCCCACAGCCTACTAGTAGAATCCGGGGAACACGCACGTAACCGAGTCTAGCGCTGGGAATAGGGGTCTTTCCTACCAATGCATAGCTAATTCCCCATTTTTTGGTCTCCGCATGTAGATTCGGCAATCTACTAAGTTTCATAGATCTACTAGGCAAGGGATTATAATGCGGAGATGCGCGGAGTTTCGCGGACTTGCTGCCGAAGTTATGATTCATGGAGACTTCCCCTTCATGATAGCCACTGCTGGAACTCCTTCTTTCTCCGCACTACCGTACACTAGCATGGTCTTGTGCTAATGTTGACTGAGAAACATTCACGAAAAGGTGGCCGATGAATGCCTGAGGCACCAACATTTCAACGCGATGTGTTGAAAGTTAGTTCTTACTACTCAATGATTTCATTTTTCGGTCGATAAAGAGCTCGAAACCAACATGCTACTGATTTTGACGCATACGTGATGGATGATGAAGATGACGAAAATTGTAGATAACGAAGAAAAAGAAAGGGGTGGGATAAAGGTCAAATCCGAAAGCGTGAGGCTTCACATCAACAGATGGATCATCATATCACACCGTGCACATAGAGCGGAGCTGAGATAGGCAGGTGCAAAAGCCTTGATTTATAAGCCCTGGAGGACTCCATCAACGCCAAAAACTCTTTCTCTTCTCATATATCTTGAGCATAAGCTCTTCCTACAAGTTCTACTTAGAAATGTGAGAAAGGTAAAATGTTTTGTTTCAATTCTATAAAGGTAGACAGAAAGGGTTTATTTTGTATCTGCTAGTAGCGTCTATTAACATAAAAGAATCAGACTAGGTATATAAAATAGAAAGGAATAGAGTGTCCACGGATCTTAAATCTGCGCCAAAACAGCCTGCACGGTTCGACCAACATCTTCAAATAGATGCCAATGCCCCACATCCTTGAGTACCTGGACATTTCCACCGCCTGTTGCCTCGGAGTACTTCTGACAGAGTGCTGGAGGACTGACTTTGTCCTCTTCTCCCGTGATGAAAGAGACTGGAATACGCAGACTCTTAACATCCAATGTTTCGGTAGCTGATCTAGCAAGTGCCGCACATGCTTTGGCATATCCTTCGGCATCTTGACTGAGAAGAGAAGTGCGCACTGCAGCAATAGCTAGCGGATTATTTTGTTGAACGAACGCCGAAGTTCCGGCTTGTATGATTGCATCAACAACGGCTAACATCCCCTGCTTTCGAACAAGGGCAGCCCGGGCATAGGAACCTTGGCTACCTGCTTCCGGCAATGGGCTCGGGGGAGGACCCATCAAGATTAGTTTGGACACAAGCTCGGGATGTTCGAGGGCAAGCTTGAGAGCGACAAGAGAACCCATCGAGTGGGCGATCACGGTCACACCCCCCCTTCACCGCAGCGACTTTAGACAACTGATAAAAATCATCCGCAAAAGAGGCGATAGAGACGCTGCTGAGTGCTGATGTTGGCGAAAGGCCATGTCCTTCTAGATCGAGAAGATGCAAGGAATGAGTGGACTGAAGCTTCGCAACAAGAGGGTAGAAGTAACTTGTCGATCCGCCAAGTCCATGAATGAAGAAAATCGAAGGACCTGTCTCAACACCCAGTCGTTGGTAAAACAGCTTCTTGCCATTAACAGTTGTTAATCCCGCACCGGAGGGCGCCTTTTGGTTGGCGATGGGAATATGAGACTGCGCACGCTCGGAAGTGGTGTTGACTGCGTCAGGAGCAGCAATCCGATTTGTCAAGGTTCCTAGTCCTGTCACGGAGACACTGATTTCATCTCCGGTCTGCAAGAACTTCATGGGTCTGAACCCGAATCCAACGCCAGCAGGGGTACCGGTGGCGATAACGTCGCCAGCTTGAAGTGTTTGGCCAGCGCTGATTGTCTTGATAAGGTGAGGAACGCTGAAGATCAGATCGTTAAGAGTGGCCTCCTGGCGCTTCTCCTTGTTGACGCAGGTCTGGATCTTCAGATTTTCTGGAAGACACTCCTTGGGGACAGCCACGGGTCCAATTGGGCAGAAAGTATCGGGGGATTTGCCAAGGAAGAACTGCTTGTGGTCGCGTTGGCGCTCGCGTGCAGTCATATCGTTCACGATGGTATAACCCCATACATGGTCCAGGGCGTTCTGCTCCGAAATTTGGAAACCAGGCTTGCCAATGATCACGCCAATCTCTCCTTCGTAGTCGGGCGTGCTGGTAAAGTTTGGATGCAGCAAAATAGGGTCTTCAGGGCCAATGATGGAAGTTGCACGCTTAGTGAAGATTACCGGGTGAGTCGGCTGGTCGGTCTTGTCACTGGCATCGTAGCCAGAGGAGTTGAATTCACGAGCATGTTCGACGTAGTTCTTACCAACAGCAAGTATATCTCGGCCTGAAATTGGGGGAAGGTGCTTGACGCTTGAAAGAGGGAATGGTTGCGCGCCGGATGCCGTAATTCCTTGTTCGCCGGCCGCGATTACTTGATAAAGATCTGTCAAGGGGGTGCCAGACTTGAAGGATAGAGGGGTGACAGTCGAGGTCTCGAAGTCAAGATGGCCAATTCTCGGGCCGCTGTTGGGCTCTGAGTATGCCACGTAGTTGGTAAGTTTATTCACGCCGTTGACGGTCATATTGAAACTATTCGAATTGAAGAGGTTGAGTGTACATGGCCAACCCTGGAGTCTCGTCCAGGTACTTTTATAAACCGCACATCCTTTCAGGACTGTTCAGGCTACAGACTCCCCGCATCGGAGTTTAACCCCTCCATCGGAGATGAATGGCGTCATTCGTCACCGAGTTCTTCACCGCGCATAACCGCGCATCACCGCGCATCACCGCGATTTCCGCGAACCCCAACTACCATCCCTTAGTCATCTGGGTATGATGAGGCAATTATCATGATCCATTAACAAGATTAATGCGAATGCGGGGAGCATGTAACGGCTTTTGTGTGTATAGAGGATCGATTTGGCTTCAAAAATGTAGAGGATGTAAGGAGCCCTAGAAGTGTAGTAGAAAGGATTTTATAGTAAGCATGTATCTATTTACATGTCTCTTAGGAGGTATTTGTAGGAAGCTTTGACATGTACAAATCCAGTATACTGTCATCTGTTTCTTGATCCAAAGTACCTTGGGGGCTCCTTGAATCGATTCCCAATTCCTTCTGTTCGCCCAACACGCAAGGGTCCTCCCCATTTCACCATGATGGCCTCGGAATGAAAACGCCAAAATTGCCACGAGCAGTCTTCCCCAATAAAGCTTCGTATTACGGTTTCTCCTCCTGGATGCTCCTTAATGAATTTTGTACAGTCGTAAACGATATTGTCTACGACTATCCAAGCGAGACCTTTGGCTTCCGAGAAGCGTAACCGCTGGCTCCGAACAATCGCAGGTGTGATCCAAGGTAGAGCGTCATCAGGGACAGATGGATCCTGAAATTTATATTCCGAGGCAGTTGGCTCGTATATTTGACCAATACTCTCAACTTGAACGTGCTCGACGTGTTCAGTGGCGGATTTGAAATCGGTGACCTGTGTAGGAACGGGCTTGAAGGACGTCGGCCCTTGAAGGTGGCTTCGGAGACTTAGCCAACCCATAATGAAAATTTCGATAGTTGTCAGATAAAGGAAGGGAGTTCGGTGCCACATTACTTTAGATCAGGAGTCATTCGCGGATTGCGGAGAAGCGCGGAGAAGAGGGGGCTGCCCGTAACTCCGAGAGGAAGGGGGTCAACGTCCGATTGGTGCCCACTCGACAAATCGTGGGGAAGTCGTTCATTACTACAGAGCCAATATAAATCAAATATTAGTAGCTCGCATCTTCCTAACTTACTTTTGGCCTACCTCATTCATCCAAACAGTGCTCAACTATTCTCTGCCCTCCATCTTTTCAACATGACGAATGTGTCGTGGATGTCAGCAGACTACCCTATCGACGACTACGACGGGCCTCCTCGAAATATCGCATATATCGATCAGCTAGACTTCAACTCAGATCTTCAACCCGTGAATTATGAGATCGCCGGCACTCCTGCTTCCTCCAGAGTCCTCATCCTAGATGTGGAAATCCTAGAAGCCACTGGCCGGGAGCCGTACAGAGGGGATGTCCTCGTTGTAGGTAAGTTGCAACCATGCTGTCTTATTATGTATATTCTTCCATATGGCAGGGTATGATTAACTGTCATGTCTAAAAGGCCAGAGATTCGCCCATGTTGGCACTGTTCCCAACAAAGAAGCCCTACTGGCAGAGCCCAGTGTGCGTGTTTTCCATGGAAAAGGCCGTACATTGATGCCGGGCTTAGGAGACTCTCACACCCACTTCACATGGAATGGAGGTGATCTAGACCGACTCGGTAATCTTGGCGTCGAGGAGCATACACTGCTCACTGCGAGGAGTGCAGAATGCTTCCTAGATTCCGGCTACACTATGTGTTTCGGAGCGGCATCTGCTAAGAAACGCCTAGATGTCGTTATCCGGGACGCGATCAACGCGGGCGATATTCCTGGACCTCGATTCCTAGCCAATGGCCAGGAAATGGCACGAACAGGGGGAGAACTAGTCGGAGGAATCACTGCCTATGCGGATGGCCCCGAGCAAATGAGAGAAGTGTAAGTTGCTGCATGGCACAAAATGGCTTTCTTTACATTCAAATTGCTAATAAAACCTCAGTATCCGTGAACATATTGATATTGGCGTTGATCAAGTGAAACTTTCGATGTCTGGAGAATCAGTATGGCTAGCACCTTCTAGCCTCATTAGATCTGAACGTTAACACCTCTATTAGATCACGGAGATCCGAGACGCGGAAGATTGCTATTTTACACCTGAAGAGACAGCAGCATGTGTTGATGAGGCTCATAGACATAATAAGCGGGTCTGTTCACATGCTCGAGCTCGAGACTCTGTTCAACAGAGCATTGATTTTGGAGTGGATGTGATCTATCATGCATCTTATATAGATGAAAAGGGTAGGTCACTTGCCATTGTTGTGGTTTGCTCTATCTGACTGGCTATAATAGGTATGGATGCTCTTGAAAAGAGCAGATCAAAACACGTGGTGGCACCCGCTATTAATTGGTTGATAGCCACACTTCACGACGCCGTCATGTTCGGATACTCCACAGAGAAGGCCGAGCAGGTAGGCTACAAGAAGGAGCTTACTGCTGCCGACCGTGCTATGCGCGAGATGCATCGAAGAGGAATTGTAGTCCTCCCCGGAGGGTAAATTTCTCAACTTCTTCCAAATCAATAAAAAAGCGATATTGACTCTTAGATTCAGGGATTATGGATTTGCATGGACGCCACATGGTACTTATGCGCGTGATCTCGCCCATTTTGTTAATCGGTTTGGCTTTACACCACATGAGTCCATCATTGCAGCAACCTATGGTATGGCGAAGCTATTCATGCGCTCCCACGAAATGGGCCAGATCAAGGCGGGCAACTATGCGGACTGTCTTGTAATTGATGGGGATCCACTGAAGGATATCTCCATTCTACAAGACCATGATCGGTTGAGTATAATTATGATCAATGGCCGTGTTCATAAGGCAGGAGTCAAGGAGTATGTGGTTCCAATGCAGGATGCAACGGGTGTCCATTCTATGACAAATGAAATGGTACAATTGGGGTTACAGCGCCCGATTCCATCTTAAAGATTCTGATTCGGAGCTCAAGTCACGGTGCCCTCTTCGATAGTGTGGAATAGTATTCTAAATTCATAACAAAGAAATATTTGCAATATATGTACAATAAAATTACATCTCGCCACCCTTCCCCTGGGCACCTGGCACATTTAGTCCTGAACAGCCTTCAATCGAACCCCATCGGCAGTTGTTTCCAACCAAACCTGCATATTCCTCGACGTAGTTTCCATTCCCTTGAGAGTTGGATCCGGCTTTAGAGTACTAGCCGCATCAACCTGCAAATCAGAAAACAGGAGAGCCAAAGGACTCGATTTCCAAATATACTGATTCCGCGTGTGGATGATCGTAATGATCATGAACACCAAACTGAGCGCAACCAAGCCACCGGGCAGAATCAACCATTCCCATTGAACGTGAACATATGATTGATCGGTCCAGGCCGTTCCATTCACAGGCGCAGCGCAGACTTTCGATCGAGCATTGACGGTTAACGAAGAGGCGAGTGATTTGAATACTGAATTGATGTCGGTGAAGTTCCCCTGCGTGCCGTAGAGTGCTTGGATAGTGTCGGATGAATAGTCAGGTCGGTTGCTCACAAACAGCGACGCTTTGCCTTTGAGCAAAGGTTGCAGGGAATTGGCCATCGCGAGCTTGCTGAATGCGTTCACGGCGAACGTGCAATTTGAACCCTTTTTGTACGGTTTTTCGTAGCGGGTGCCGTTGGAATAGCAGGTGTCGGGGTAAGAGTCACGTCCTTCAGAACATCCATTGGGTCTGACGAGGCGTTGGAGGTGGTTGACACACCCGTTGTGGTTTCGATGAATTTTCCCTCGCGGACGGAAGCTTCGTATGTGTTGACGCAGAAATATAGCGCGCATTCAGTTGCGCTGATTGAGCCGCCGTAGCCTAGTCCAGCGATGGCGGTGAAATTCACGATTGTCGCCATGCCCTTCGTGTCTAGTTTCACGAGGGGTCGCAATGCTGTTGAGTTGATGAGGTAAGGCATATTGAGTGAAGAAGTGAATTCAAATCCGTTTGGCAATTTGTATGTGGTTTGACCCATCATCGAGTTGGAAGATGGGGAGGATGTCGTGAGAGAGTCGGTGATGTTGGCGCATTTACTGCAGAAGCCGAGGGATTGGTATGAAGGAAATGTACAATTTCCTGTTGGGCATTCCATCATGATGGAGTTGCTGTTTGGAGTTTGAGTTTGAAAAATACCCGAGTAGACAGCACCCAGAGTTCCTAATAGGACCTTATTCAAGCCAGGGGAAGAACCCTCGCCGTAATCAGTGTAGAGGCTCGAATTACAGACTTGAATAGATGCTTGTCCCGGAGCGTGAATAGATCGTTCTTTCACGGCCATTACCTGTTGAACGAATGGGTCCGTGGCAGCGGCCATGACTAGGACTAGACATCCGAAAGTGACAAGATGGCTAAATTTCATCAATACAGGAGGCTGGAGAGTCTGAACTCATGAACTCACCGAGGTAAGAAGCGAAATAAAACAAAGAAAGCACCCGCTACACCCCGACTGGCTGCATCCAGAAGCGCAAGGTCACTCAGCTTGTTCCCACTGTGGAACCAAGACCATTTTAATTGAGCCAAGCATTCTGTCAAGACAAATGCCATGGAAGCTTTCATAATCGTACTGAGCACCGAAACCAGGGCGTTAAGGGTGATACCGTAAGGCCAATCAGGCATTGGTTTTCCATTGTACTTGAACAGAACCACAATTATTGCAGCCAGAAACGCGATGGAAATAATAGATCCTATGATTTCAAAGGTCCAACTTGAACCCCAGAATCCCTTTGTATTAGATTGAAGGAGGACCTGCTCCGCTGTGGACAGTGGTCTTTGTCGGGATTGTCGATGATCGTGGCGCTCATCGTCCAGCGGAACATATGAGAGTCGAAACTCTTCCTTGCGGTTCATCATTGATTCAATTGCCCCTGTGAATTCAGAGACAGGGGCTATGTGTTTGAAAAACGAATGGAGGAGAGGGGATCAGGCCCAGTTTGAAAGGAAAAACTAGTACGGAGTACGACCGGTTCGACCATCCTGTGGATTTCCCCATGCGAATGGAGCATCTGAAACTAGGGCCAAATACACCGGAGAGCTACCGGACTGATGAAGAGGACTGAGCAAATCTATTCCTGAGGCAGTTTAGTGCCAGGGTCGTTGTTCGGCGCCCGGCCCACAATGCTTCAAGGGTTGACCTATTACGATCTATCATATGAGGTGGAGTCGAGTAAATTTGGTCAACCAATATTCTGGTAAAAAGGCCATCTCGTCTGATTGGTTCACCCCTGTTCTTATTTTCATCGGCTCTGAACGGTTGTTGATCGCTTAGCCATTGCGATGGAGTACGCTGCTTAAGGCTTAAACAGCCACATCGTTAGTGTACGGAGTATGAGGTAGATCTAACACTTCTTTTCTACACTACGTCATACGTTGCTATTGTAAGTATCTTCTCTGGCTTTTAAACTCATTCATGTGCGAACGATGTGACATTTTGCGTGAACATAAGGCCATTCTCAATAAATCGAAGTACATCCTCCCGTTGTTTTCGCTGTGTGAGCATTAGTGATTGTCTCCGGTGACAAAGTTAGATATGCTTGCATAGTTTTTCGATGTAACCGGGTTCCATTTAATTTCTTGGAGGTGGCGTTTGTGGCTGAAGGCCCTGACCGTCTCAGTAAACTAAATTCTAACTGGTGGCTCACTGGCTATCAAAGCTACAGCATGCAGCTATCAAATCTGTCATAGAGTATCAACAAGCAGGCAAAACTTACCACCCTTCATCATATGCTTTCTGCCTCACAGTTCGTATAAATCCGCTCATGCGAATGATCTCCGCTGTGTTCCTGGGGGTCAGTGTTGAATGAGACATGTGGGTCGGTGTACACCATACAGGGGTCAGCGTTGAGCGAGTCTTCTATGACGAATTTCCTATGACGACTCGGAATCACACTGAAAGCATACTATTTACATCACATGGTAGCATGATAGTACTAGTAGTGAAAGGCGTCTCTAGAGCTGGAAATGCCATAGCGTCATCTTTTGTGCCGTCTTTGACTTAGTGGCATCCACTGTCGCTTATCATATGCTCATGCTATAGAGGAAGGCTTGAATAAGAGCAAAAATTGAACATGGATAATATTCAAGTTGACACAGGGAAAACCCTAGAGCACCTCTAGCGTACAAGGAAAAATTGGATTTCGCGTCGCAGTTCAAGTTCCATCTACTTCTAGCAGTACCCAGACCCGTGGACATTAATTGGGCAGCCCTCCGAGTCCAGGGCTCGTAGTATTATTCCAACTTGAAAGTTCAAGTTTGATACCACTGGCAGTATTTCAAGACTTCAACCTTGAAAGTTAGTAGTAATACTAGTACTAGTAGTAACCCGCCAGGGGTGCCAGTTGATGCCGAATGAAGATAAAATCAATTTCACGTTGGCAATCCAAGCTTGAAGTAGTTTCTTTAAATCGTGCGTTTTCAATCTGACCCGTGTAGGTTAAAAGATGTGGTTGAGAATGATCACCCTGTGTACTACCCAACCTTACCTTATTTGGCCCACTGCTGCGGATCACTGATAAGGTAAACATAGGAATCGGAGAAAGGTGGGTCAACGCCCTCATTGGGTTGCATATGGGAATGGACTGGAGAAGTTAGCCTTTAGGCTACATCTTGACAAGAGGAATGCTGAGATAGATAAAAATAACCTTAACCCATAGTAGTATACCTCGTAGCTGGTTAAGTCAACAGTGTAGCTGCAAGGTACGACAAACCTTCAAAGCGCCAAGTGATCTATGCCTGAAGCGGAGTGCACGTGACCGAGTCGTCATCAAGTGACCCCCCCAGCCTTGACCTGCATCTCCAATCTCCAACCTTTCCATTTCCTTGCTCAACCTATTCCTCTGAGTACTGAAGACGCTCAGGGCCCGAAAGACACATATATTCTTGCTCGACTTTGCACTGTCACGGCTACCCACGAGCCGTCATCGCCACCATGAAGTTCTTATCGGTCGCCACCCTGCTTGTTGCTTCTCCGCTCGTCTCGGCGGCATCTCTGCCGTCTATCTTCGACCCCACACAGGTCACCCTCAAGGCCCATACCACCGAGAATTTCCCCGTCAAGGGCGACAATCCCCTGGATTACTGCGAGAACCCGGCTGGTAATATCTTGCAGATCGAATCAGTTGACCTCGATCCCAACCCTCCTCTGCCGTGAGTCAACCTGGGAGCTCTGCTCTGAAACACAGTACCTCTGGCTAACTATATGCTTCTTTCACAACAGGGGTCAAACTCTTCAGATCACAGCTAGTGGCGAGCTGACCGAAACCATTGAAGAGGGTGCCAAGGTCAACCTGGTTGTCAAATGGGGTCTCATTACACTTATTTCGCAGACTGTCGAGCTCTGTGATCAAATCAAAGAAGTCGATATGGAATGTCCTTTGGAGAAGGGTCCCATGACTCTGAAGAAGGAGGTGAAGTTGCCGAGCGTTATTCCTCCTGTGAGTAATACCCGAGGATTGGACAGCCAGTGAGGCCTAATGAAACGCTAACGAATACATCACAGGGTTTCTACTCGGTCTTGGCCGATGTCTACACCAAGGATCAGAAGAAGGTCACTTGCTTGAAGGCTGATGACATCCAGTTCAAGCTCCTGGTCTAATGATAGATCTATTCGGGTCTCGTAATTGCATCCACCTGTAGGGTGGCCTCTTGTCTGTTCAATAAACCACCAGGACACGCCTCAACATTCCTATGCCAGAAACGCCCCCGCCCATGTTTCGTTATGACTCTTGCTCTTTCCGTTTTATTTGATGTGATTGCCAACGTCTTTCCAGCCACACTGTCTTTATTCATCATTGTGTTTTATCTTGACTTCGCATCCTTTTCGATTATCCATCTATCCTTGCTGAGACCTTCCCAGTCGAGCTCTGAACTCATATACCTCTCATCGCCAAATGAACATTTAATTTCGGTATTTTGCGCACATAGATGTTCCAGTCTCCATAGTGATAGTACTACTAGTGGTATAACTTAGCACTACTAGTACGGTTACAACGTGAATCCATGGATATAGATCAGGACCCGGATATATTGAGGTTGTATATGCATTTTCAGACATGCTGGGTATCTCCCCTCTAGAACTTCTGATCACATCCCCGTCATTTCCAGTTCTTGCAGTTGGTGTAGGAAGCCCGAAACTAATGATATCACCGGAATATTTTGACACGAAACAGTTATATCGAAACACGCAAAAACCAGACACCTCTTGGCGACCAAGCGCACAAGATCGAATAGACACATTGCGAGCTCACTCGCCAAACAACCGCCGAACACGCTTCAACACGCTATCCTTCTCGGGGTCGTAGGGGTGGTCCTTGCTGGGTATTTCGAGGACGGCGGGGAATGGGTCGGTAAAGGTATCCACGCTGTGGCGAATGCGCTCAGCGACCTGAAGACAAATGTCAGTATTCCACTAGTTTGGTTTGGGATGGAGGTATGCGTTGCGCTGACATGTTGGTTGATCAGGACTACGGCGATATCCTTTCGTTCCTCGGTGAAGCTCTTGAATGCCCGTTCAATCTCCGAGTTCTCTGTCTTGGCATCAACGACCAGAAAGTTGCGCTGCGCATCGGGGGGATCGGTTACGTGCTAAGGATAGACCCAAATATGTTAGTTTTTGGGGATTCCGGGTGATCGAGAGGCTTTGGATGGAGCGGAGACATACCCCGATACCAGCGAGAAGGAGGCCAGTCACGGAACTAGAGCTTGCAGGTCAGCATATGCCCAAAAGAGCACCGGCAGTGAGGTATGTAGATGATGAAGGGAATTTACTCTTCATCGCCAATGACGGCGAGGAATTGCCGGTCCTGGAATTGAAACCATTTAGCAACGCTATCGGAGGGGTTAAAGGCACTAGGTGTCAAGTACCTTGTATGTAGACGCGGCGGCGGCAGCCATAATGTGTGTCGAGAAGAGTGAGCAGCGTATAAAAGACCAACGAGAACTCGACGCCTAGGTTGAAACAGGAAATAGGCGCAGACCTCTGCTCAGTCGGGGCTCAAGCTGGTGAGGTGGTCCGCTAATCGCTATCGCGGAGGAGCTGTACCGGGGTTACGTAAGCTGATGCAATTTTGTTTACTTTCAACGGGTGTCATTGTCTTGTCTCCAACCAACAGCTTGCACTACACTCTGCATGTCTCTATTTCGCCTTTCTATCTAACGCGAAGCTGCTGAGGAACAGGTTGTGCTTGAAAACACCATTTTTGCACCACCGCGAACCATGCCTCGCCTCGTACGCCGTCGCCCGCTCGGGGAGCGCATCCGCAGCTGGTTGAACCCTTGGGACTTTTTGCTTTGGGCATCCGAAACGATTGAGGGTTATGATTTGGATGAATTAGAAAAGGACTGGGGCCTGGTTATTGGAATCACGCTGAATGTGGTATTCCTTGTGGCACGTGCAAATGGTCGCTCCAGTGGCAGAAAAGCCATCGACGATGTTTTTGGTGAAGACGAAGGGGTCCCTTGGTTAAGCTGGTTGGTGAGTTGCGCCTATTATTTACGACTTATGTCGTGCTGCAAGGATATTCAAGCTGATTCGCGATATCTCACTCTGCTAGGCATCATCCATAGTCTCCTTCCTCGCCATTTCATCGGCACTGAACGCCTTCTACACCTTTTATCGCAAGCGGCACTATCGCATGTTTGAGAATCCCATAGACAAAGCGCCGGCGACATCATCAGCCCAGCGTGTACGAGTGGACTCGAGTCCCATGACGGCGTCTCCTCTTCGATACCTGGCCAACGCGATGTCTACCGAGACTGCGCAGTCCAGAGCGCACCCCGATGCACAGAGAGATGTATGGGAGGTCGCGATGTGGGATCCTTTGCCAATTTGCACTCGTCTTTTCTGCCTATTCAGTCCTGGGCATGTCCTTGTCTACATGCTCTTCCTACCCACCCAGCTGTCCGACCAACGACCTAGCGTGACCATTGTGACTACCGCTTTCCTTGCGGCCCTCCTATCAGTACAAATGTCCTTCCTCTCGGTCTCCTATACACAACAAGCGAAGGACTCGACATTGGTACACAAGGAGGTCCTCAAAGAATACGACAACAAATATGTTCATCCTCGAACACGACCTTTGATGAGAGATGTCGCAACACAATTTGCCGATGTTGATACGGCCAAATCTACTTCTGAGCCGCCAAATGAGGTTGATACTTACACCCCGACCTTTATCATCAACCGGGGATTTAAGACTAGTCCGAACCCGAACTATGTCAGGCATGTCGACCCAGAAGGGTTCTCTCCTCGGCGACCAGCAGCTCCCTCTACATCGGGGCCTTCATCGATTTTTCAATCTCGTCCACCCATGCAGACTCCCGTTTTAGCGCGTGATCAGTCTCCATTAGTACGAACCGCGGGGACAGGCATGCGCCAGCCGCAATTTCGACAACCAACGACAGGTACAGGTGATGGAGGGAGCCTCGGAGTCTACTCGCATGCCAACTCTCCCTTAAGGAAATCAGCATCTACTTCATTTGATCGTCGCCTCCAGAGGGATGGCGATTTCTTCTACAGAGAGCAAGGCACAAGCCCCTTGAAAAAGCCGTCCAGTCCGCTCAAGCGAATTAGTGCGGCAGGGTCTAACAGTCCCTCTGTGAGCGGAGTCAGTAGGCCAGGCTCCAGTAGTCTCGGGACTCGTCGAGAAACGGGCCGATTCTAAAAACGAATCAATGAATTGCCTATCCTTTGCATGACATCATGTCCTTTTTCAGCCTACTCAATACACAATGAGCATTATACTCCCAAAGATGTCCATGCGTTCGACCATCATGACCAAAAACAGGGTGTGCCCTGCATAGTCCATGCCCTAATTCACACTAAACTTGATATCGTTGAGGGGTTTGATATCTCCAAGGGGAGGATTTCTCGAAACTGCCACGCTGGGGAATGTCAAACCCAACCATATTTCCAAAATGTCGACCAAGAACAAAAAAACTTTGTAGTTCCCGGGTGTTGTTGCTGATTGATAAACGTTGACTGGTGATTTCATCTCGGGTCGTGCTTGCGTTGAGTTGGGCCGAACACCTCATGGGCTCTTTTCACCCCATGAATCCCATCCGTCACCGTAACTTCTCTGACAATGATGCAATGATGAAATTTCGTTACGCTTTGGAGAGGAACTTGCGATCGGCGCGTCATACCAGATGGCGGCGGGTTCTATCTGCTGGCATTCCAGCGCGGGGGCTGGCATTCCTCATCGCGGATAACATACCATCCCAGCCATTGGGAGCACCATATTCTTACGCGTTGCGACCACGATCACCTTCAGTTCCGGACTAGGCTAGATGACCCCGCGGATACTTTGTGTCTATCACTTGTCCTGTCTGCACGAACATTGACCATATTCATACTCGCCAATCCTTCGTTCCTAGCATACACTCCGCCACCAAGACACGACCTGATATCAACTGTTTTGCCACGGCATGGGCCAAACAAAGGTTCAATCCTGGCTTCGGAGTCTAAGCTACTAGCCGCCACTTCCCTCAGCCATCATGGAGATCGAAAGCCGAGTCGAACTACCCGACGGACATCTCGTGAACCTCTCACCTCGACCTCATAATCACGGCCAATACCAGGCATACCGTGCCGACTACGCAACCGAGCTCTCCGCAAACTCTCCTTCCCGATACAACTTTTCTGATAACCGTGCTGAATCCGCGTCCCCCAGAGCTTCAGAGGACACGATGTTTCACAGAGCAAAAGCTACCAAGCTTCCGGTACCGAAGTCTTTTGCTGACAAGGGAAGGGACCAAAGAAACCAAACCCCCAGCCCTACCGCAATTCCGAAACCATCACCGACGACCTTCTCCTCCGGTGGATCTGGTGGCCCGGCTACTCAATCAGGAGATCGCGGCCGAGAACACACGTGGAAGAAATTGAGGGATCGATTTGACAAAGACTCATCTCCGCTATCTCAACGGTCATCCTTTGTTCGGTCCAGAAACACCGACCAGAATGGTTCTCCAGATCATTCCAGTGCACGAAAGCCGAATAGGGAGCAACCTGCTAGCCGCGGTGGTCGCTCCGCTATTCCTAGCCCACCAAGCAACAGAAACATTGCGCATGGTGCACGCAACAGGTTGACTGTCAATGTAAACAGCCAGAAACAATGGACAGATCACGATTCCGACGACGCCCATCATAAGCCAGGAAGATCCGACACCACAGACTCAGGCCCGGATTCTCAACCATCCGTCTCTCCCATCTCAGCCGGCGAATCAGTCGCTGATTGGGAGGACAGATTTGTAGTTCACATGCCTTCTGCGAAAGACCCAAACCCACCTACGATGACAACCCAGCAAATTTCTGAGTATCAGAAGAGCATAGAGCGGAAGAAACGAGAGCGTCATCGAGGTCGAGTGTCTGATATCAGTGCAGCCCCCAGCTCCCGCAACGGCTCTGCGGAAAGAGATAACAGCTCACAACCGCCTCAAACAACACAGCCAGAACAAAGGACAGAGAAGACATTCCAGACCTACAACGGCCGACCATCTCAGTCTCAACCAGAAACGGATCGACAGCAAGCGACATCTTCCCAGCCCCAAACCTCCCTATCCCCGGCGCAGTTGAACAACTATTACAGCCCGGAGGAGATTGGCAAGAACAGAATCAGCACGATATGGGAAGAGTCTTCTCCATCGAAACCAAAAGACAAAGTCAAAGGGCGAAATGATGGTTCTTTTTTAGGGTGCAAAGAAATAAATCCCGGCGGCAAGAATCCAGACGAAATTCTTCTATTTTCTTCCCCCGAGGAGGCCAAAAATCTTCAACCTCGCCCTCTCGCTGTAGGGGCAAAGAAAAAGCCAAAGGAAGAGACGCGGACGGCTGTGTATCAGAAGCAGCAAAAAGCGGAGGCCGGGAACAATGCTATTCAAGAAGAATGGACCGAAATTTCTCAGAATTCGAAGCATGCCCAATGCTTGAAGCTGTCATCCACGACCCTGTGTCAGGATCCCAATTACTCCGATCACGAGATCGAGAGAGCGGACTCCCAGGGATCGAGCAAAGAGAACACCCATCCGAGACCGAGTTTCGAGAGCGCGAAGGAGCATCCCGAAGACGTTCGCGGGGACGACGATGTGTTCATTATCACACCCACTGTCACCCGTACAATGCTCCCTTCCTCAATCGCGGAGAAAAAGACCCTCAATCTCAAGACCCAAGGGTTGCGACGTCCCGGTGGTACTGGCCTGTCGGGCACAGGCGAAGCCGTGAAGGCCGTACGGGCAAAGGCTCAAGTCGTCTCCACACCTTCTGGGTTGCGACCAGCCGGAGGAGCCTTGCAGATGAAATCGACAGCACCATCAATAGCATTATCCAAAACCACAGCGTCCCTGAGCAGCATCCCCAAGCCCAAGGAGTCCCCCACATCCAAGCAAGCCCCCCAGACAAAAGACGCCTCGGCCCGAACCACTCCATCCAAAAACACCCCGTCCAAAGGAACACCCTCCAAAGACGCACCGTCCAAAGAAACGCCGACAAAAAGGACTCAGTTGGAAGACACCCCGTCGGAAGAAAGCCCACTCAAGGCCAAGATCGACCAAGAGAAAAACATCAATCAACCAACAAGCTCTATCCGTGGATTCATCCGTACCTCCGGACTAGGACGGTCAGGCGGCATCGTTAGGTCTCCCACCGACAGCCTGGCGACAATTTTACGCAATGGTACCGAGTCTCTGCGTAATAGAGCGGAATCCTTCCGTAATGCCAATGGCTCTCTCTATTTCAGCAGTCGCAAGGGGTCTCCGGTATCTCTAGCTTCGGCGCCGTCCAGGGATAATTCGGAATCATCACGATCCGAAAGGTCTTTCAGGTCGGCGTTGTCTTCGGTGAAGGACACACCACCATGCTCGGCCAAGCCATCGCCTGTGAAAAAATCATCTCCAGCCGCAAAGCGCGTTTCTATTGACAGAGGCCCACCGCAAGAGATAACTCCTCCCCGTGGGTCGAGACTTCCTCGCCACAACAGTCCTCCACGCCAGAAAACACCAACACCACAGCGGGCCCAGGTGTCTTCACGAGAAACATCTCCTTCGGCGGACGATGAGCGTCTCGCGGCCGAGAGACATGCCCGTGCAGAAAGACTCGAGAAATTCAAGGAAGAAGCACGCATACGACGCGCAACGAGAATGGCTGCAGGTGCGAACCCAGATAATCTCGCAGACAATCCCATCGACGAGAAGGAGATCGCTGAACTGGATGGCCATCAGGTAACCGGGTCCAAACCCAAAAAATATCTGCACCCCAATATCACGGATGTCTGTGACGATTTGCGCGAGGGACTGCACCAGGGAGATAAACACGATTCCATCAAAGAAGGCGCCAACGCCCTAGCGCTGTCAATGGTTTTCGAAATCGTCGTCATGGCCATCACCCAAATGCACAAGGCCGTTCACAATGGCACTGACAGCCAATACGCCAAGGTGCTGATAAACAATGTTCTCAACATGGCTCGGCATTGCTACCGGGTCTTCAATCGCGTGTACCGGGTTATCTCCGAATACCAAGCAACAGGCAAATGGCCTCGAGCCAAAAACGACAAGGCCATCAGTGGTTTCTTGATGGAGCTCCTCCAGGCCGTTCTGTATCTTTTTGTCCTCGGATTCGGCGCCTTGGTCGTTGGACGTGCGGCAAGCTACGTCCTTCTTGTTGGAAGTTGGATGCTATGGTTTGCCAAACCATTTGCCTGGGCGGTCCAGGGTATCGGTCGTGCTCTGGTAATGTGAAAAATGACCGACCGGTTTTTTTTTCCACCCCGAAGGACCTAGTTTGTTTTTTCTTCCCTGAATCAACACATCATCCCTTGTTATCTAGCGTTATTTGTATTAAACTGCTTTTTTCATTGTTATGGAGTTTGGGAGGTGTGGGTTTCCCTTCCTAATGCTGTGGTAGCTATTTTGGGGGCGCAGACGTGGGAGGCGGCTTTTTGTCAATGTTCCTTGCTCTATTATTAGCCCGTTACAACAACAACAACAATCATTACAAAGCACATGCAATACTGTTATCTTTATTTTCTCTCAATTCAAATTGTACCAAGGTAGTATCGAGTGTAGATAAGCTGTCTTGGAACAGGGCTAACTAACTACTGTCCAAATTGTATTTGAAGTCCGGCCATCGGAAGGTCTGAAGTTGAAAATCATCCGATTGCATATTGAGGTCTCCTAGCAGCTACTAGTAGATTTTCTCTAGCTCTAGGTTCTGGATATTTGCAAAGGCAAGCTGCTCGGCAGAACTTCCAGGAGAAATCAAAGTTGGCCATCGTATGATACTCCGTCAAACTACCCATCCATCCATCCAGCTTAGTTTCGGAATTCTACAACTACATCCAGGAAGAGATCAGGGAGAGAAATGATTCAAAGCACCCGCGATTCCAAGTTGAAAACCACGGACAGTTCAGCATTTCTTTCTTTTAAACAATTTAATCTTAAGCCCGAATCCCAGAAGAAAAATCCCAGCATGCGGGTGTTGGCAGGGAGGCCCTTTTAAGGAAAACGATGCAGAAGGATGATAAAAACCGAATCGACCAAAAGTGAGCGCCGAGCATCGAGATGAATTCTCGATAAGGGAAAAAGGGAGGATCGCTGCGTGCAAAAATCAAAACTGACCACTGAGCCGTAGGGTTCAATTATCTTTCGGGCTGTGGTCTCTATATCAGGAACTTCAAACGAAGCAGAGAGGGTTGAAAAGGAGTGGAGAGGAGAAAAGAGGAAGAAGGAATGATAGAAAGATAGCTCCAAAGGAGCAGAAAATTATATGTTGAATTTTGGATTCTTCTGCTTTTAATCCCCCCAGCCCCTAGACAATCCCACGTCCTTCTGCAGAAGAACGGTTTCAGTATCGAGGGGGCAGGCACCGGGCCTGCAAAGGATCAAAAGATAAAAAAAGAAGAGTGTTCCGAGCGATGGAGCGTCATTGTTAAAAGAGACGGGGTATCGGTACAAGGAGAATGTCGGATGTTGAAAGTGGAAAAGAAACGCTCAGGAAGAAATCGTTGAGAGGTCTTCAATCGTGACGCCATGACACATTGCAGGGAGGGCCCGAGATATGGTGTTGGATGATTTGTTTCGGGCTTGGTAATCGTTGAGTATCGTTGAGATAGGTGATGTTGAATTAGGTAGATGTTGTAGAAGTAGTGTTGACAATGGCTCGTAAATTCACGAGCCCGCGAAGGGGATAACGTCAAGGGAATAGTTCATGGTTCTTCCGGTTGAGTGGAAGTAATTTTAGTTTTTGACGGCAGTGCCGTTCTGTTCGGTTGTGCCGTTGGTTTCGGGCTTGCCTGGTAGCTCGACATCAAAGTCCTTGATCTCGAGATCGTTGAAGAGATCAAAGACGGCGTTGGTTCGGTGGAAGTCGTTGTCCACAATGTTGACGAGCCACCAGTCGTTCATGACCTGTTGGATCAACTTGCGACTGGGGCTTGCAGCATCGTGACACTTCGCCCACTCATCACCCAGAGCATACGCTTCGTCCTTCCATGCGAGGAAACTGATTGTCTCCACAATGGTTGGCTGAATGATTTCTCGGCCAGCGAAGATACCCCAAGTCAAGGCGTTGGGGCTGTCGTTCGTGTTGGTTCTCAGTTCGCCGTTCTTACGGGTTGCGTGGTATGTGAGATCATCGTTTTGTTCGATCTTTGCGATGAGTTGGTCGATCAAATGCGAAGGCACCATGAGTTCCAAGTAGGCCTTCTGGTAGACGAAACCGTTCTTGGGTCCCCATCCGTACACGGGGTGGGATGATTTGACGCCATTCACAGAGGGTTGCGAGTTGATGGTCAAGAAACCACGACGGTTGACCTTCAACAGAAGATCATGGATGTCGCTTGCCTCTGCTGTGATAGGGCTGTCACTCCAGGGCAGTCGTTCCAGTTTGCCCTCCAGGAAGCGAATGAAGATGTCGGAGAGATCCTTGATGGACTTGGGTTCACCCCACATCTTGATGTTCTGCTCATTTGTACCTTTGAGTCCAACACCGTAAGCATCAAGCTCACCGAATGCAGGGGAGCGAGAATCGGTCCAGCGGCCGTTGGGATACTCATCCCATGTCTGGGTGCGAGCGACATATGAGGAGTTACGGTTACGCCAGAAGACAGGTCGGACATCTTCGCCTCTGCGGCCGAGGGCAAGCGAAGGTCGCCATGGCAGGGGGCGCTGAATGGGAGAATCATCGGACGGTGCGAGACCTAGTTCCTCGAGAACCAATCTGGTTGCCTGGGCGAGATTCATCGTGTAAAAGTGCAGATGGTTGAGGCCCGAGGCCATGAGCTTGCGGCACATCTCGGCGATGAGGTGCTTTCCAATGTCTCGGACTGCCGCATCGTCGTTCTTGACTGGTTCGAGGGCCTCCATCCACTCTGGGGGAACGCGAGTCTTGGTCCAGCTGGAGCGACGAATGAAGGCAGCGTATGTTTGGATAGGCATGATGCCGGGGATGATTGGAATGGTGATACCCTTGGCACGGCACTTCTTCACCCACTCGATAAAGTTCTCGGCGTCGTAAAACATCTGAGTAATGATGAAGGAGCTTCCGGCATCCACCTTTTCCTTCAAGTGATCGATCAATTGATCGACATCATCGTTGTCATCAGCGCCCTCGGGATAACCACCGACACCAATATCGAAGTGGTTACCATACTTCTGCCGAATGTAGCTAACGAGATCCTTTGCATACCGGAAATTACCGTCGGCAGCCTCCCACGTTTCCTTGTCACGAGGAGGGTCACCTCGGAGTGCCAGGATGTTGGTGCAGCCGGCCTTGTATGCGGCGGCGAGAGCTTGGTCAACCTTCTCCTGGCCCATATCGGTACAGGTGAGGTGCATGCAGGTCTCCAGTCCGTAGACAGACTGAGCAACGCCTACCATTTCACAGGTCAGCTCCGAGAGACGACCACCAGCACCCCATGTAATATCGATAAATCCAGGACCCAGATTGGCCATTCGGTCCATTCGGTCGTAAAGATTCTGCACACCCTGTGCAGTCTTAGGGGGAAAGAACTCGAAGGAGATCCCCGGCTCCCCCGCAGCCTCTTTCTGCGCAAGCTTCTCACGAATATGCATTGTGTCGGTTCAATCTAATTCTTGGAATGTTAGCATTCTGGAAAGGTATGATCTGAGTAATATCCAGGTCGCAAAGGCCCAGATATTGACATGCGTCTGATTGAGGGGAATCTTACAGAACAGCAACTCGACAATTAACCGATTTCCTGTCAGCAACACCCAGGGGAGGGCTGAAATGGGCTGTTCCTGCGGCGGGGTCTTTTTCAAACACCAGGTATTCTCCAGGAATCCCGACTTGTAAATGAATCCCGCGGCTCGGTTGTTGACAGGAGGGCGGTCAGATAAGAAAAAAAGGAGGTGAAAAGGGGGGAAGGGATGTGTGGTGATGAGAGAATCTCCGGAGGTGAAAGGAAAAGGGAAAACACTCTGACGATTTGGCGGGGGAGGCCGATGGTCGGAGGCACGTGTTCTGTGCCCTCAACAAGCAACTGAGCTCAACGACCGGCGATGAGTCCTGCCTGTTGATTGTGGATTCTTCTATTTCAATCTATCTCAAGCTTTTCAATTGCGGCTATCATGTCACCTTTTCCCGTCAGTATTGGGAGGATGGGCTCTGATGCTAGGACTGCCCCTCCTGCCCCTCCTTTGTGAGGTTCCCCCCCGAAAAAAAAAGGGTTCCGGGGGAAAATTTCCCTTCACGTCCGTTTATCGCTCTCGACATACTCCAACCTTCAACCTCCAGTTGCTCTCCTTGGTCTCTCTCTCTCTCCCTCCTCCCCAGAGTGCACCTTCTCAATCCTCTTATTTACCGATTTCGCATTCTTCGACCAATCCCACCATGTCCGCCGCCAGCATCCCTCCCCCCTCCGCCGATCAGGACTACAAGTCCTCCCTTCTGCCGTTGTTGATCTCCAACAATGTCTTGTCCTTCGGCACTTACGTCCTGAAGTCTGGCCGCGAGTCTCCTTACTTCTTCACATCTTCCCTGCTGCACACCGCCCCTCTCCTCCGTGCGACCTCCGCCGCCTACGCCAGTGTCCTGTCCTCTGAGCCGTTTGTCACCACCGGCGCTGACGGTGTCCCCAAGCCAAACTTCGATATTATCTTTGGCCCCGCCTACAAGGGTATCCCCATCTGTGCCGCCGTCACCAACGAGCTTGCTGTGCGCGACTCGCTCTCTGGCTCTCCTCAGGGTACCTGGGACAACGTGAGCTACTCTTTCAACCGCAAGGAGGCCAAGGCCCACGGTGAGGGAGGAAACATCGTCGGTGCCGCTCTGAAGGGCAAGCGCATCGTTATCGTCGACGATGTCATCACTGCCGGCACCGCCCTGCGCGAAGCCGTCGGCATCATCGAGAAGGAGGGTGGAATTGTTGCCGGTGTCGTCGTCCTGCTCGACCGTGAGGAGCGGGTCAACGATACCGAGCCCAAGAGCGCTATCGGCTGCGCGCAGCGTGACCTGGGTGGCAACATCCCCATCCGTGCGGTCATTGGTCTTAACGACCTGATCGAGAAGCTGGGTGACCAGATCGGTGCCACTGAGATTCAGCGCCTGAAGGATTACCGTGCTCGCTACGGCGCCCAGTAATTTTAAAAAGCTTGTGGATAGTTTTATTGAGACATGATGTATGAAAGACCAAAAAAGGAGTTTTGATACCAGGATAGACCCAGAGTTATTCCATTCTATATATTGCGTGAAGAATTAAGTTCATGGCCGAATCATGATCGCTGTTGATTAGCTATGTTTCCCCGAGACCAATTGTCTGTCTACCCTCGTTCATGTCAAATGTGTGGCAGAATTGTAGCCACCACAGGATGGGATGTCCAAGTACCTACATTATGATCCGCTCTGTCTCACGAGTCCAATGACGGGCCCAGGTGCTCTGTGCACTGATAGTAATAGACACTGACCAAGTTCCTCACACCCGGGGCCCCTGATCGATATGTCGTACACGATAACCCGAACTATACCATTTTCAAGTTGTCTCAGATGGGCGATAATCCCAGAATCAGGTGTGATTATGTGATAGCAAAGTCGAAAGGCGAGGTCCGAGAAAATCGGACTGTCGTACCGGCACGGACAATGGTTTGCTCAAAGTTGACCTCGACTGGCATGCATGATACCTAGGGAGGAAGAGGTATTTATCGAATACAGAAGGGTGACTGCAAATCAACCTTTCAAGGCATCGTAGTGATCTGATCGCGCTCAGACCATTCGCGGGGTATCAGGCCAAAAGAGGTGCAGGGCGTCTCGGGAAATCGGGCCACTCCGGCACATGATCCAGAATGTATGTCTACTTCATGACCAGAGACTGGTGGGGAATAAGATCTGAACCTGGGGTAGACAGTGTTTGTTGGGAGGGCGTTCACTCCAACTTAGTTGTACTATTTAGTTGCGATGCCCAGGTAGTGCGTACTAGTATTCCTATATACCTCGCACAGCGAGCACTCGGGATTGCGTTCGAGTTCTTGAAGCTCACTTGTGAATCTTAGGACAACAATCCTGAAGAATCTCAGTTTACCTGATGCGGAAAGGTCAAAGTTATCCGGGGATGTCCTAATGGTTGTTTGGGTGTCACAAAAAAACTGGGTACACAGTGGGTTTTGAATTCGGTCCATGTACCGAAAAATGAGGTCCCTCATTATAGCTGGATGAGGAATTGCACATTGCGTATCAACTCGAATACATACACTACCTAGGTATCAGGATCAAGGTTGGCTTGTATTTATTTGCTTTAGAAGAGTGGTGGTTCATTGTTGGAAGGGACTATTCATGTTTCGAGATCCATCCATCAAATGCCATTGGGGTACCAGTAAATGAGCCCGAAAGGGACAGAATAGCGCTAGTTTTGACCAACCATAGTCATGCTGTGCCTTGAACTCAGGTCTTTGCCCGTGCAATACTCCAGATCCTGTTCTATTACACATGCTGACAAATATTTGACGTTTTGAATGGACATAAAAGATCAGTTCATTGGTGCCCCAGGGCGTGTGGAGAAAGATCATATCTTGCTTAGAAACAAACGGGAAAGATCGTTCAATTATAGTTCTTGCAGAACGGGAGAAAGTTCCAACGGCTTGTTGAATTTTGAATAGGCTCACCTCAATCTCATTCTCTATGCTGTTGAACCATGTACCCCAGAAGTCCCAACACTGAATGTTTGGTTTTCGAGGTGTTGAAAGTATGTGATACCATGTGCTGCGCTTCTGGGTACCGAATAGAAGAGCCTACAGATTTCTCACTCGTTGGTTACTTGCATAAAGCATATAGAATGTCTAATCGGGATCATTATACGCTCTAAATTTATGAGCAGTTCCGCGGAAAGACCGCTTATGTCAATTATTCTATTGAGTCGGGAAGCACTAACCTGCAAATAATGTAGGAACTAGGTCTTTTTCTTCCTTCAAATATACAGATTCTGTTTGTCTTGATTGGAAACTCGCTTTCTCGGTTCTTTGCCGAGTGCCGTCAACCTTGAAAATATTTGCTTAGGGGTGGAAGCCTTCACGTTACTAGTACCTCCCTACATAATTTGCTCTCGAAGTGCTGCCCATCATCCTACAAAATATAAAAGTTATCATGTTATGGAATATCAGAATTTGATCGTTCTTTTGGCCAGATTCAAATGACCAACGCGCGGTAGCTCTAGATATGGAGGCTTTACCTACCTATGCGCCTTTGCTTGCGGCAGTTGAAACCAAAATTCAGTAAATCTGCGCACCTGTGAAATGGAACCAAAATTTCTTATGACTAAATTTGCGTGAATAGATGTATGAGTCCACTTTTTACCCCTGAGCGCACAATAATATAATATACAAAAGACTTCTTCTTGAACAGCAGGAGTATTCTACTACCAAGAAAAGTCTCTCGTTCCTAGGTAACAAGATACCCATAAGTACAATTCGAAAACTCGGAATGAAGTCAGTAAAAAGACACAGTTCGGCGTGTATATCGAGTGACAAATCTCATAAAAATCTCATGAAAGTCGGTGTTTAAATCGGACTGATATAAGATCTCCACGGCATGTTCAGCACCGCCGAACCCTAGTAGAGATACGCATGTCTATGCTATCATCCATGATTGTGTCACAGAACTTTTGTGATACATACACAACATAGATAGCACTAGGTATTGTCGAGCCACAAACATTCCACACTGACCGCCGATAATGCACAGAGCTATTGATTGTGCTCGAAGGAGGTTAGGAATCTGGGAATCTCGTGAGACAATACTTACTTTTGTCGTCTGAGCCCACGACATCTCGAAATAGATTTTGCTCTGAAAGACCCGGTCAAGTACCCGGAAGTTCCATATGTATACTGACTTTCATACCTCCTATCAGCGGTCAATCTGACTTGTCGCTAATTCCGGAGTCCAGGACACAGATTCCCAACATCTCCATATTGAGCCGAAAGATAACAGAATCAGACAATGTACTTTCTGTAAAGAGAAGGGACATAAGAGTTCTTTGAAGTATGTCTTGAATTCTAGTTGCGACTGGGTGCAGCTTGTTTAAGTGAAAATTCACTCCCATTTATTCCTCTGGCCACCTCGCAAGAAACCATTACAACCAGTCCTCTTCTAATACGGAAGGATTTCTTGGGTTTGACTTCTGGGAATACTGGGTCTCAGGTGGAGGTTCCAAGGCTAGAGGCATACCGTCGATATTTGCTCCCGATAAATACCACAGTGGCCAATTGAACATTCACAGGTAAGTTCGTTTACTCGGCTCCGCAATATTATCTTGGAATTTGTTTAAGCGCTCTGCTATATTTGCTTGGCTTCTTTCCGACCATTTATTAGACCTAATGTATGACAGACTACTAATTTCAACGAAGAAGGGTGTACTACCAAGTGTCCTTCTACTAGTGAGCTTCTATTTTATCTGCAATCCCAAAGCATAGGCTTTGCATCTGATCTCAACCATTTGCCATCGGTGATCAGATATCATGCATTGGAAGTGTACAAGTGCCTTGCTTGTCTTCCTCGCAAAACTAGGTGAATGTTGGCCTTATGATGAGGCGCTCATCGACTATAATATCAATGAAAATCCCGACACAAGGAACCCAGCCGAGTATTGGGGAGAATGGCCCAATCACACATATTTCCCATCACCAGAGAATTGGCGTTTCCCAGTTTATACTTTATTCCTCGATCGCTTCGTGAATGGCGATCCAACCAATGATAATATCAATGGGACCCATTTCGAGCATGATCTGAATTCAAACCAGATGCGTCATGGCGGCGACGTATCCGGACTAGTTGATACCCTAGATTATCTCCAGGGAATGGGCATCAAGGTATGTGTAGACTATAACTCCCATTTTAACTGGCTAGCTCGACTAATCCGTGGACTTTTCAATGGAAAGGCTATATACTTGGCCGGAACGATTCTCATGAACCAGCCATGGGGAGCTGACGGCTATTCGGCACTTGATACCACCTTGTTAGATCAACACTTTGGCACTTTGCAAACTTGGAGAGATGCTATCACTGAGATCCACAATCGTGGAATGTATGTGATTTTTGACAACACCATTGCAACGTAAGTATTCTTAACTCTGCAAGCCTCCCCTTTCGAAGCTGAAACAGTGACAGAATGGGCGACTTGATTGGATTTCAAGGATATCTCAATACTACCACGCCATTCCTACTCAAAGAACATAGCGCCCAATGGAAGTCAGATCGTCAGTATGTCGATTTCCACTTCGGGAATACCTACAATGAAACTTGTCAATATCCCCGATTTTGGAACGAGACCGGCTTCCCCGTTTCACAATATGTCGATGATCAGTTACAAGGGTGCTTCGACAGTGACTTTGACCAGTATGGCGATATCGAAGCCTTCGGCGTTTACCCTGACTGGCAGCGTGAGCTCGCGAAGTTTGCCTCGGTTCAAGACCGTCTGCGTGAATGGGTCCCCAGTGTCAGAGAGCGGCTCACCCGCCATTCCTGCATGATCATCTCCTCCCTTGACATTGATGGCTTTCGCTACGACAAAGCGACGCAGGCGACAGTGGATGCATTAGGCGATATCTCTGGATCCTACCGCGAATGTGCTCGCAAAGTTGGAAAAAACAACTTTTTCCTCCCTGGGGAAATTACAGCCGGGAATACTCTGGGCTCGGTCTTTCTAGGTCGCGGTCGGCAGCCTGATATGCTCCCAGAGACACTCGATGAAGCCTTCCGATTGAGTAACAACTCCGACCCATTTTTTTTCCTTCGCGAGGAGAACCAGCAAGCCATCGACGGCGCTGCCTTTCATTATTCTATTTATCGATCCCTAACCCGCTTTCTGGGCATGGACGGCAATTTGGCTGCTGGCTATGATGTCCCCGTTAATTGGACAGAAGCCTGGTACCAGATGATTCTTACAAACGACATGATCAACGCGAATACCGGCAAATTCGATCCTCGACACATGTATGGAGCTACAAATCAAGACGTCTTCCGCTGGCCAGCTGTTGAGCAAGGCATTGAACGCCATTTACTGGCTCTATTTATAATCACATTGCACATGCCTGGTATACCGTTGTTGCTTTGGGGTGAAGAACAAGCATTCTACATCTTAGACGCCACAGCTTCCAACTACATTTTTGGCCGCCAAGCGATGTCACCTGCTACCGCATGGAAATCCCATGGTTGCTTCCAGCTACCTTCAACTCAATATTATAACTGGCCAATTGGATCAGGGCGAAATGGCTGTCACGACGAAAGTGCCACCTACGACCACCGCGATCCTGCACATCCAATGAGAAATACTATCAAGCATATGTATCAAATGCGGCAGGACTTCCCGGCTCTCAATGACGGCTGGTGGATACAGCTTTTATCCAACCAAACACACGATGTGTATTTACCTGGCTCCAATGGAATCCCAACCGAAACAGGCATGTGGTCTATCATGCGAAGCCCATACTTCCAGCTGCAAGATCTTGGAGAATCAGGCAACCAGACAGTATGGTTCGTCTATCAAAATGACAACCGTACTGTCACCTACGATTTTGATTGCTCTGATCGAAACTTGGCCTTGGTCTCTCCATTCGATACGAATACCACTGTCAAAAATCTGTTCTATCCACATGACGAGCTTGTTTTAAAAAGTGGCCCGACTAAGCTACAGCTCAATGGATCCACTCATTGGAATGGTTGTCTCGACAATCTGACTCTTTCGCCTTATGAGTTTAGAGCTTATGTTCTCAAGAAAAACTTCGTGCCTCCTCGGCCCATGATCACAAAATTTACTCCCGGTCACGACGTCCCCGTACTGTCCACCGCGCTACCCGGAGAAAGCGAGACGCTTGATGTTGCCCTTTATTTCTCTACGGAAATGAACTGCAGTCTGGTAACAGAATCAATTTCTCTGGATTCATCCACGGAAACCGGACAATATCCATCTGTGAACCTTGAAACAATTGACTGTGGGTTTGTGGACGACAGAGAGGCATCATCTTATACAGGACATATCCCTAGCACTTGGGTCTGGACGGCCACTTTGAATAATGTCTACAATGGAGTTCACAGATTGACCGTCAATAATGCATCAAGCAGCGATGGAAAATACACTAATGCAATCGACCATTTTTTGATTCGCATTGGACAGCGTGACAATCCCATTGTTTTTACATCTGCGAATTACTCCAGTAGCTTGCTTCATCAACATGGAAATGGAAGCCTCTATATTCAACAGCACGCTGCTGGTGCAGATTTGTACCGCTATTCCACCAACTGGGGAAGCACATTTTCACAATGGTTACCTTATGTGGGTGGGAACCACAGCATCAAGGAGCAAGATTGGTCAGGAACAAAAAAGCAGAGGTGGAATGGGAAGCATGTCCGTATTGAGTACTGGAATCGTTTCACGGGTAGCAGTGACTATGTTCAAGAAGGCGACGGACCTGGATATAAAGATACAGCGCCCAGACGATTTCCCCATCTCTTCTTCAACGGACCTTTCAATGAGTACGGCTATGATGCAGGTCTTGCCAACACTGTGAAGCAAGATAGCGACGGCATCTGGAAGTTCCGTTTTATGACCGAATGGCCTGCCCAGGGTCAACTCAACATTTGGGGAATCAACCCTGACGGGCATCCTGACCAAAGCTATATCTTTGGTGACTCTGACGGTGATTCCGTGCTGGATCGTTTGCCACCGTCATCGTTGAGTACGACAACTATCAATATTACAGATCATCCCCCAAAACCCCACTTGGCCTGGAGAATTCAGCTTGACGATGCTACACTCAAATTCAAACTTGTACCAGCAGGATCTCAATACGTTCAAATGGCGCTCTACTTTTTGCTGTGGCTTGTGCCAGTCATCACGGCCTTCACTTGCGCCTACATCTTCAAGAAAACATTCTACAAGATCAAGCTCAACCAAGTCGGGGTTAGCGAAAAGAAAACACTCATCTCTCTCAATGTTCTGAACAGATTTAAGTTCGAACCAGGTGACTCCAAAAATCCGATTGTACGTCTTGCAACCAAGTCTAAATTCCTCCAAAGCACATCTGCTTTTGGCAACCGTACCTCAACCCGGCGAAAGGTATTAGTTGCGACGATGGAATACGATATTGATGACTGGGGGATCCGAATAAAAATAGGCGGATTGGGCGTGATGGCTCAGTTGATGAGCAAACAACTTGGCCACCAAGACCTAATTTGGGTCATTCCATGCGTTGGTGGAGTCGAATATCCGATCGATAAACCGGCCGAGTCAATGTTTGTTAACATTCTCGGGAACTCGTATGAAGTCAAGATCCAATACCACAATTTGAGGAACATTACTTATGTCCTTCTCGATGCCCCGGTGTTCCGTCAACAGTCCATGAAGGAGCCATATCCTGCCCGAATGGATGATCTCGACAGTGCTATCTACTACTCAGCATGGAATCAATGCATCTCGCAAGCCCTCAAGAGGTTTCCTATCGACCTATACCACATCAACGACTACCATGGCTCAATAGCTCCATTATACCAGCTGCCAGATACAATTCCCATCTGTCTCTCGCTCCACAACGCTGAGTTCCAAGGCTTATGGCCTATGAGGACACAGAAGGAAAAGACCGAGGTATGCTCAGTCTTTAATCTCGACATGGACACTGCTACTCGCTATGTACAGTTTGGCGAAGTATTCAATCTCCTCCATGCCGGTGCAAGCTATTTACGCCTCCACCAACAAGGATTTGGTGCAGTTGGCGTATCAAAGAAATATGGCAAGCGGTCTTATGCCCGTTTCCCTATCTTCTGGGGCCTTAAGAAGGTCGGAAACCTGCCAAATCCAGATCCGTCCGACACTGGCGAATGGAATAAAGAAGTTCCAAAAGAGCGCGATATCAGTGTGGACATCGAATTTGAAATTCGCAGAGCTGAATTGAAACGACAAGCTCAGGAATGGGCTGGCCTTGATCAAATGCCTAATGCTGATCTTTTGGTCTTCGTGGGAAGATGGTCTATGCAAAAGGGAATTGACTTGATTGCCGATGTCATGCCTGGTGTGCTTGAATCCCGACCAAATGTCCAATTAATATGCGTCGGTCCGATCATCGATTTATACGGCAAGTTCGCGGCATTGAAATTGGACCGTATGATGAAGCTTTACCCGGGACGAGTGCTTTCGAAGCCGCAGTTTACCGTACTACCTCCTTTTGTTTTTTCTGGCGCCGAATTTGCTTTGATACCATCTCGTGACGAGCCTTTTGGTCTTGTGGCCGTTGAGTTTGGCCGTAAAGGTGCTCTTGGCATTGGTGCTCGAGTGGGAGGACTCGGTCAAATGCCTGGATGGTGGTATACTGTCGAGTCGACGACAACCTCCCATCTACTGAAACAGTTCAAACTTGCTATCAACAGTGCTCTGAGCTCGAAACCCGAAGTCCGTGCCATGATGCGTGCAAGATCCGCCAAACAGCGCTTCCCGGTTGCTCAATGGATCGAGGACTTGGAAATCCTCCAGACTACTGCGATCAGAATTCACGGCAAAGAACGTGCAAAATCTCAACCTACACAAGCCACAGCTGGGTCCTATAATGCAATTTACGGAATGATGACTCCCCAAGCGACAATGTCGATGAGATCCGGTGTGTCGAGCGGTACTGTGACGCCCCCGCTGCGATCACCGAGCCGGCCGGGAACAGTTGCATCAATGCAACGCAATTCAATGATTTATAGCAGAGACCCTAGCCCTGGCTCTGAGGAAATGCCACGATCTGCACTTGGCCGACCAATTTCTTCACTTGTCCGGCCTGTGTCTGCTCCGATTGAAAGCCGTGGGCGCAGATCCCACGGCAAAGGAGGTATTGTTGACGAAGAGATTGTCAGTGTCACACCTTCAGATGCTGAAGATGACAGCGGCGATGAGATGATGGCCACATGCTACGGAGATGACGACTACACAGTAGTGCCCGAATCATCGGATGGAGGACGCAGGCTAGACGGTGCCAGCATTCCTCTTACCCGAGATGTTCTTTCAGCGCGTCAATCAAGTCAAAGCTCATTAGCCGGTCGATCTAGTTCCACGCCCTCGGGCTCTGCAGCTCCTAGCTTAACAGGCACAGAAGATACATTACTCCCACCATCGCGGCCATGGGCAGGTTCCAGAAATCGCCTCAGCAGTCCTTCTGCATTGTCTGTCGACTCTGTCGTCGGTGACAAAAAGGACTATAAGCTTCAAAAGGTTGACCCGTTCTTCACAGACAGCAACGGGGAATACTACCGAGCGTTTGAAAGGAAACTGGAAGAGCTGAATGGCGCAAACTCCGACTCACAACTTTGCATCGAGCAATATCTTGAAAAGAGCGAGAAGAAGTGGTTTGATCGGTTTAGAGATGCTCGCTTGGGACGCAACCAGTCGCCTGCTCCATCAATGCGGTTCGGTAAAAGTGGTGGTTCTTCTCCACCTGGCTCTATCACCAACGACGACACAACATCTCATGAGAGTGGTCTGCCTGAAAGAAAGGCCGACGAATTCTTCCTCGGCGACGACTACGTACCACCGACAGGTTTGAAGAAATGGATGCAGTTACGAATCGGGGATTGGCCTGTCTATTCTCTTTTCCTCGGGCTTGGCCAGATCATTGCTGCCAATTCATACCAAATTACCCTACTTACCGGTGAAGTCGGCCAGACAGCAGCGAAGCTATATGGTATCGCCACCGTTTACTTGATCACATCCATTTTATGGTGGTTTTTCTTCCGATTTTTCAAGTCTGTGCTCGTTCTTACCGTACCATGGTTCTTATACGGCCTCGCGTTTCTTATTATTGGCCTCGCTCACTTCGAACCCAACTCTTATCTCCGCGGATGGATTCAGAATGTTGGCAGTGGCATCTACGCCGCCGCATCCTCGAGTGGCTCTATTTTCTTCTCCCTCAATTTTGGGGATGAAAGCGGCGCGCCTGTTAAACAGTGGGTTTTCCGTGCGTGCATGATTCAGGGTACCCAGCAGGTGTATGTTATTGCGCTTTGGTATTGGGGATCTACTTTGACGAAAGCATCCAATGCCGGAGTCGCCAATTCACAAGGACACGTTACAAATACCTGGAGAATGACGTTTGTGTCCCTTTTCTTTTTCTTGCAGAGGCAACCTTGGACATCTTACTGACACAACTCACAGTGCCGTCTGTACCCCAATCGCAATCTTCTTGTGGTCGATTGGGTTGATCGTCTATTTCGGCTTGCCCAATTATTACCGACAAACACCAGGCAAAGTGCCGTCATTCTATAAATCCGTCTTCCGTCGCAAGATTGTCATTTGGAATTGGGTCGTTATCATTCTTCAAAATTTCTTCCTCAGCGCCCCATACGGACGAAACTGGAATTGTAAGTCATCCCGCCCAGATTTCCAACCGGGGGATTCCCTAGCTCATTTCTGACTTCAAAATAGTCCTCTGGATCTCAAACCACGCCAAGCCATGGCAAATCCTCTGCCTCTGCGTCGCCTTTTTCGGATTCGCCTGGATAGCAATACTATTCCTTCTTGGCTGGATATCTAAGTCCCACAGCTGGATTCTTCCAATCGTAGCCTGCGGCCTTGGAGCACCCCGCTGGGCCCAAATATGGTGGGGAACATCCGGATCAGGCCTGTTCCTCCCTTGGGCAGGTAGCTACACGTCTGGAGCACTGGTCTCTCGAAGTCTGTGGCTTTGGCTCGGCGTTATGGACGCGCTTCAGGGCGTTGGTTTTGGCATGATTCTTTTACAGACGCTTACTCGGATGCATATATGTTTCACACTTCTTGTATCGCAAGTTCTTGGGTCTATCGCGACTATCTGCGCCAGAGCATTTGCGCCGAACAGGATTGGACCCGGTCCTATTTCGCCTGATATCACTGCGGGTGCGAGTGCTTTGGGGAATGCATGGTTTTGGATTGCGCTTATATTCCAGTTGATTATTTGGTGAGTATGCTTACCCCTTGAAGTAACGAATTTTGCTGACCGTTGACGATGTTCAGTGGCGGTTTCCTTCTGTTCTTCCGCCGGGAACAGCTGTCGAAGCCTTGAATGACTTCGGTACATTTTCTTCCAAGTTGGTGTGAAGGGACTTGGGATTTTTCTTACACTTTTTCTTTATACTTTCCAACATGTCATTGGTCTTTGATTACTACTTAGTATTTACGTAATGTTTTGATTAATTGCGTCGTGTATTGGGCATCCCATTTCTTATAAAACAAAGCACAGTTACGTATTTACGATGTCTAACAGGGGAAAAGGTTTTTTAATATCATAAGTCATTCTCATTGAGAGTCGGAGACTACTAGTGTAATTCAGCATTCCAAAAATAATCAAGCTCTGCAAATCACAGAGCATGCAGACAGAAAAAGGGGAATATTCTTTTGTCCAATCAACCGAAATCCCACGGGTTATAGCTATAGCACCCATTACCGTATCAAATGCGATCATCCAAAGCGCCCAATAATATAGATTCTCAAAGCCAACTTTACCACTCAAGCGGCTCGTTCTTCACATCACCACGGTTGGTCTTGGGGACCGGGGCGGCCTCGATCTTAGTGGCACCGCGGTTGCCGCGGCGGAGGTAGCCACTGCCGTCGAGCCAGGGGGTGTCGAGGGTACGCTGGGCCTCGAATGTGCGGATTTTAGACTCCATCTGGAGAGTCAGGCCAATGTCATCCAGACCGTTGACAAGGCAGTGCTTGCGGAAGCTGTCAACGTTGAAGGAAACAATCTTGTTGCCCTGTGCGTCCTTGATCTCTTGGTTGTCGAGATCGACCTCGACTTCACGGCCAGCGTGAGCCTCGTCGGCAATCTTCTTCAGAGCAACTTCATCATCAACAACGACAGGAAGCATGCCGTTCTTGAAAGTGTTGTTGAAGAAGATATCAGCGAAGGATGGGGCAATGATACACTTGATACCAAAGTCGAGAAGAGCCCAGGGGGCGTGCTCACGAGAGCTACCACATCCGAAGTTGGGTCCAGTGACAACAAGGATCTTGGCGTTGCGGTAGACACCCTGGTTGAGAACGAAGTCGGGGTTCTCCTGGCCGTCGGGGTGGTAACGGAGCTCGTAGAACGCAGCAGTGCCCAGGCCGGTACGCTTAATGGTCTTGAGGAACTGCTTGGGGATAATGGCGTCGGTATCGACGTTGGAACGGTCTAGAGGAGCAGCAATGCCCTTCAGAACGTTGAACTTGGGAAGACCGGTGCTCTTGCCACCACCGGCGGAGGAGTTGGTGTGAGGCTCATTGTCGGCAGGCATATCCAAGACGCGATCGAGTTCATCCTCAGTCTCCGGGGACTCGGCCTCGGCCTCGGGCTGGATATCAACTTGAGGGGCGACCTTGGCGAGGGTAGGGCTGGGAACGAAGTGCTCCCGAACGTCAGCGAGTTTGCCAACGATGGCCGCAGTAGCAGCCATGGCAGGGGACATCAGATGGGTACGACCCTGGGCACCCTGGCGACCCTCGAAGTTACGGTTGGAGGTACTGGCGCAACGCTCCTTGGGAGACAGGATATCCGGGTTCATACCAAGGCACATAGAGCAGCCAGCCTCACGCCACTCAAAGCCAGAGTCAGTGAAGATCTTGTCCAGTCCCTCGGCCTCGGCCTGCTCCTTGACCAGACCAGAGCCGGGAACAATCATAGCACGAAGGATGTTATCGGCGATCTTGCGACCCTTGACAACCTTAGCGGCAGCCCGCAGATCCTCGATACGAGCATTTGTGCATGATCCAATGAAGACCTTGTCGACAGGAATCTCCTTCATGGGGGTGCCAGAGACGAGACCCATGTACTCAAGAGCACGCTTGCAGGCAAGCTTGCGTGCCTCATCCTCGAAATCATCGGGGCTAGGAACAACACCGTTGATGGGGATGACATCCTGAGGGGAAGTACCCCAGGAAATTGTGGGAATGATGTCCTTGCCATCCAAGAAGATGTTCTCATCGAAGTGGGCCTCTGGGTCGGACTTGAGGGTAGACCAGAAGTTGACGGCCTTGTTCCACTCGGCGCTGCCGTACTTGGGGGCAAGGGGACGTCCCTTCAGGTACTCGAAGGTAATCTCATCGGGCGCAATCATGCCTGCACGAGCACCACCTTCGATAGACATGTTGCACATAGACATACGAGCCTCCATGCTCAGGCCACGAATGACAGAACCACAGAACTCGATAACGGCACCAGTACCACCGGCGGTACCAATGACACCAATAATGTGAAGAACAACATCCTTACTGGTGACACCAGCAGGGAGCTCGCCATCGACCTGGATTCGCATGTTCTTGCTTCGGCGGGTGAGGAGGGTCTGGGTAGCGAGGACGTGCTCGACTTCACTGGTTCCGATACCGAAAGCGAGGGAGCCGAAGGCACCGTGGGTGGATGTGTGGCTGTCACCGCAGACAACGGTGGTACCAGGCAGAGTGAAACCTTGCTCGGGGCCGATAATGTGAACAATACCCTGGCGCTTGTCTCCCATACCAAAGTAGGTCAGGCCAAAGTCCTTCACGTTCTCCTCGAGAGTGGTGCATTGCAGGCGGGAGTCGTTCTCCTTGATAAAATCCGCGGCGTTCTTGAAGTTTTTCCGAGAGCTAGTAGGGATGTTCTATGGGATGGAAGAACAGAGATTAGCAACTGGTCATGAAGCTCAGGGCGAGCACACAAAGTCAATCCCTTCAAAACATACGTGGTCGACAGTCACCAGGGTGCAGTCCGGCCGGCGGACCTTACGGCTGGCATTCTTCAGACCCTCAAAGGCCTGAGGAGAGGTCACCTCGTGGACAAGGTGGCGATCTATTCTTGTGTCAGCGACAATTGCTCAACCCCAATGCAAGCTCGGGCTGGGGTAATTCGGCATACCGATGTACAGCAAGCAGGTGCCGTCCTCTTGCTCATTGACGATGTGGTGATCGAAGACCTTGTCGTACAGGGTCCTCGGCTTTGAATCTGCGGAAGGCATGATGTGCAGATGATATTAAAAGTATCTGAAGCTCTTTGAAAAATTACCGAACTGGGGAACAGGAGAGTGCAGACTTATATTTTGCCGCGCCCGCGATGTCGCTGCTCTGTGAGTCGAGGGGCAACGCCGATTTCGGTCGGTCAGCGACCAATGCTGGAAAGCCGATTGGTTGGGAGGGTCACTAGGGTGAAGGCCGATGTCGGCGTCGACAAAAATGTGACGGCGGCTAGTGGCGCTTGCGGGCGGTGGATCGGGGGGAGTAACAAGAACCGATCATTGTGGGTTACACAGCAGAGCTGAGGATGAAATATTGAAAGAATTCTCGTATTTTGCTCTTATTTTACAGTTGTTTTGATTACTGTTCTTTGATGTCCATTTGATGTACTCTACCATCATCTTCCGACGCTGGGGCTTCAATTTCTGTGGGGAGAGTACACCGACTGATAATGCATGACGTAGACCGCCGAACCGGGGGTGACTCAACTAATAGTGGGCCTCTTATTGGCCACGGATGCCGTCTCCGATCGTGCCGAGGGGTGAGGTAGTAGTACTAGTAGACATATGGGGAAGAGGGGCAGTGCTGGCATGCGGGACATTACTACTAAATTCTAGCACTGTCTAATAGTACAATAACTAGTATTAGTACAAGTAGGTCTTAACTTGGTTATTTATACCACTTCTTACTACATAGTAGTTTGCTGGAATATATGTTACTACTTCTCCAGGGCTAGGCTATAACTAGTTAACTACTAGTTACTAGTTATTAGGTAGTGGTATGTATAGTATACCTACTTACCTAGTAGGTCAATGCGATATCATCCGAGTCAGAACTAGGTATACATTCGGAGATTTTTCATATTCCGGGGTTACTATTTCAAGGTTAGTACCTAACTAGTAAGCAACTTGAACTTGAATAGTAAGTTGAACTTCAACTTGAAGTTGCCTCCGAGCCGACCCTTCGAGAAATTGCCTTCAAATTGGAGTTCAAGTTGAACCTGGAATTTACAAATGATGGACACCAACCTTGGAATTCCGCAATTTTGTCATACAAAATATCATCCTTTCAAATGTATCTATATAAAGGAATTCGAAGGTCTAAAATTGTAACCGAAACGCCAGAGCCCAACCCCATTCATCCCGAGGCCTTATGCCAAAACAACTTGAACTTGGACTTGAACGGTCCATAAATCATGAGTGAGAACCAAGATCTACCACAATCCTTTTACCTGAAACCGATCCATCCCGCAGCGTCTCCAGCGCCGCATTAATACCATCCAGCCCTCCCTCAGCACGAACAATATCCGGCAGACTCAATGTACCATCTTGCAACAAAGTCTCCAACCAGCACACCAGGTTTTCACCGACAGCAGGAGCCTCATGGAACAATTTAATCGGCACGGTGTGATATCGGATCCCGGGATCTCGCTCTTTTGGTAGACCTGTCAATCCCAGCAGATGGGATTGGCCTGATGTTTCTAATGTTCTTTCAAGGAGTGTTGCTGTTTCTCTACCAACAATGTCAATTGCATATCGTAATTTGCCGCCCGTAACGCCTCGAATAATCTCGACTGCGCGCTCGGTGTCTTGTCGATCTACTAGTAGATCTGCGCCGAGCTGCAAGAGCTTAGTGCCATGACGAGCCACGTCGGCGACACAGATTACGCGAAGACCAGCAAGCTTGGCTAATTGGAGAGTGATTAAGCCAGTAGTCGTCGAGGCTAAGCATGACAATTAGTATTGAAAATCAAGTATACGTAGAGGAGATTATCTTACCTCCCCAGATGGCAACCCAATCACCCCGTTGAGGCCGATCCGCCGAAGCAAAACACTCATTCAAAATGTCGGCCGGGATACTGTTTCTATCAAGTCGGTCGACGACATTCACAAGATTCGGACCCGGCGATTTTGTGAAGAGCGAGAAGTCTAATCCAAGCGAAACACCCAAGGCGAGAGCAGAGGCAACAAAAGCAACGCCGAGAGAGGCGGACGCACTGATCGAAGTTGAGGATGGAATGCGCGCAGCGTTGAAGTCTGTTGCAATGGCATATTCTTGGAAGGCCGCTTTCCTGATATCACGGTAGTCTGTTGAGGG